CATTCCAATTCCAGCACATACTCCAGTGGCCATCCCTCCAAGGGCTATCCCAAAGTTTGAAAAACCAGTACATTGGAAAACTACAATTGCAAATGGAGGCAATGAACTCACACCAACGAGATGCCAAGAGGTAGGAGGCAGAGGTTCCGTGATTGACCACAGCCAAGATATGCAAAAAATGTGTCATTTTGCGAGGTACTTGTCCTTTTTCAACATTGGACCATGCGCCAATATCTTGTCGAGAGACTATGGGATGCCACGGCAAAGATGGTGCTTTCATAATGAAAATGATTGCATTGGGACGCATTTGGTGCATGCGCAGTTGAGGGATATGACAACCAACCAGCCTGCGTTGGAATTGACGCTAAGGTGTGCACTGGGTTCGTCTTCTTCATCACAGTCGCTGCACTCTTTGGGGCACGAAAGGACTCCGCAGTGGCAACGCCTAGGCAGAATAAAAGTATTGTGTCAACACGGGTCTTCCACATAGGAAAACTGCGAAAATAGGAACGGGTTTAGTGAACTGGTAGCAAACCTTGCACAGGCAGTCCTTGAATTTGGCTCTGAATGCGCTGACACGATTGAAAACTGCTTGCAGGCGGCATCTTTTGACACTTCATAAGCTCCACCCTGGGGCTATTGTGGAAATCATGAGCAAATCCAAGCGGCTTGTACTTCCGAGGCTTCATCAAATGCCCACATTCGTGATCATCAAGCTGTTCAGCATTTAGTGAGTAGCACTTCACCTGGCCGAAGGTGTCTGATATGTTCGGGTCAAAAATTGGGCAGTTCTACTTTGGATGAAGTCCCATGCCTCTACTTTAGAGTCGTTTCCTGTTGATCCCAAGGTCACCCGGACACGCAAAGACACACGTTTCGATCTATATATATATATTATAAATATATATATATATTATAAATATATATATATATATAGATGTAGTTGGCTGGCGGCGGATAGCACGCCGCCAGCTTTCGTGCGTTTTTCTGTTTCTCTTCTACTTTTTCTCACGCGGTCTTGCTCTGTCGATGGGGTGGGGTGGGCCTGGGTGGGGTGGGGTGGGGTATTAACGTCATGTGCAGAGTGCGTGGAACGCGCTCTTGCCTAACACGCTCTTGATGTTACGCTCAGCACTTCTTCAAGGAACTTCTCACACGCCCTTGATGTTACGCTCAGCACTCTTTCCTAGCAACTTCTCACACGCTCTTGATGTTACGCTCTGCACTTCTTCAAGGAATTTCTCACACGCTCTTGATGTTACGCTCTGCACTTCTTCAAGGAACTTGTAACACGCTCATGGTGTTATGTTCTGTACTTTTCTAAGTATTTTGAAACACGCTCTGGATGTGATGCTGTTGCCTGACTATGTCCCAGGTTTATTTAAATGTTTTTACCACAATTCCATTGTTTGTGAGTTAAAAGTCATGGGATTCATGAGGATTTTAATGGTAGTCTTTGAACGCTTCCCTTCGCGAGGTTGGAATGTATCAAAATTTAACTCACGTCCTGCAAAGCTTGTGACAGAAAGAAATACACACTTACAGATACAACATTGATAAAACGAAGTAGTTTGTCGCAGGATTTGAGAGGGTCCAAAAAATGGACGAAAGCAGAAAACCCAGAGAAAACACAGGGAAAGTGAACTTGCAACGGTTGGAAAAACAAGCGGCGTTCTATCCGCCGCTTACCTAGTTATATATAAGTTCATATACTTAAAATATTTATAATTATGAATAACAAAAAATAAAGGAAAATAAAATATACTATATAATTATACATAATTAAATATAAGTACTGTAATAAATAAAGAAAAGAACAACATGTTAATTCCACATAATTAAATATAAATACTGTAAATATAAATACAATGCTGTATAAGTATATATAACAATGAATAACTATATAATTATAAAAACAAAAACATGAATATACATATATATAATACAAAACTATATATAAGTAACTATACTTAAAGATAACTATATATAATTATAAATAAAACTAACTGTATATAATTCTAAATGAACCAATATAGTTATATATATATAGTAATATACATGTATACATATTTCATTATATATATATATAATATTGCATTATATTACCACAAATTTGCCGTATTGAGTGCCGCCCAATGGAAATCGCCTCACGCTTCTGAAAGGCAGGCTTGTTTCCGAATGCGCGCCTTCCGTGACACAGGCAGTCGTTAAGGAGCCCGAAGGCCCGAAGAGAACTGGGTCCTAAAAACACTATCCATATTCGCACCGATATGTAATGTATGCTTGCGATCGCAGCTCCCTGCGCTGTCCACTATTCGCATAATACTCATATTGATATGTGCGACGGTCAAAACTCAATTCATGTGGTGAGGTCATGGCATCGCTTCACAAGGCCCCCTATCGCTACACACAGTCCCAGCACCCTTTTCACCAACTAGGCAGAATTGCTGCTAGAAGAGGAGGATCCAGATGAGGAATCGGATTCTTATTCCTTTTGCGCTGGTATCTCCAGGGAAATTCAAACTTTTATGTGATCACTAAGGTTGACGTCGACAGCTTCAGCAAGACACCAGCCGGACTCACTGCAGGTCATCTGACCTCGGAGGCTGCCCTTGGCTTGTGTTGGCTTGTCTTGCCTGTGCTGCCTTGTTTCCAGCACCTTTTTTTCTTCACCCCGCCTCCTTTGAAACCTAATACCACGCCAAAATGAATCGGCAAAACCCTGACCAAATGAACCCTTTAAGAACTAACCCATGAAGAACTTGAGGGTACCCTTGTTCATACTTCCCATATTTTTCCACCTATAGCACAAGTTGTAAAGTTTCAAGTGACCATGTGGGGTACTCCCTAATTTCATGGATTTCAGGTATCGCTCTGGGTATCGAGGGGTATCGCTTCGGGCATCGCTACGGGGACCGCTATCTGAATCAACATCATCACCATCACCATCATCATCAGCATCGTCACCATCATCAAGCTCATGATGCGTTATGAATTAGTTTCTTGCATACCTTATCGATCAACATACCCCAAAATATCAACATTGTTTAATGTAACTATCTCATATATACTTGACGACAGGCCATCTTGCAACTACCCAGGAAGACCAGCCCACTGCGACTGCTCCAGTGTCGCACTCTGACATCAAAAGATTGGAAAGTCATGCGCCCAACAGGAAGGTTCAATCATAAACAAAGTCTAAAAAGAGGTATCGCTACACAAGGCCCCCTATCGCTACACACAGTAAATTACATGTTTTGAGTAGTGATGGCGGATCGTAATTGAAGCCTTTCATAGCGTCTTTTGACCATTGCACATATTAAAAAATAAGAATTTGAGGGACCCTAGGCCTCAAGCTTTCGGATTCTTAACCAGCACTCGGGCTGTATTTAATATAATATATTATTATATATATATACATATCTTCTAATCGGATTTTTAAATATCTGCGTTCATATTTTATATCTATAAATATTTTTAGATTATTTCCGAGAAGATTTTCCTTGGCCCGAACGGGCATTGAAATATATGGAATTCAGATGCATTTAAATATTACGGATGGAATGTGGAATTTGTATTTCATACTACCTCCAGGGCGTCCCGGTCTCGCCCGACCTCGTTATCGTATGATACCGTATGTATATTATATTTTTTGATCAGGATGATATTGCCAATAAATATTTTTTTCCCCACCTGCCAGGTGAGGGTTGTTAGATTTTATGTCAGTTGCCTCCTCCTCCTTCTCCTCCTTCTCCTCCTCCTCCGCCTCCTCCGCCTCCTCCTGCCTCGTCCTCCTCCTCCTCGTCCTCCTTGTCATCCTTGTCGTCCTCGTCGTCCTCGTCGTCCTCGTCGTCCTTGCTCAACTGCGATCCGCGATCCACAGTGTTCTCTGCCGGACCTCAACCACGACCACCCACGCCCAGTGTTCCCTGCCGGACCTCAACCACGACCATCCACGCCCAGTGTTCCCTGCCGAACCTCAACCACGACCATCCGCGCCCAGTGTTCCCTGCCGGACCTCAACCACGACCATCCGCGCCCAGTGTTCCCTGCCGGACCTCAACCACGACCATCCACGGCCAGTGTTCCCTGCCGGACCTCAACCACGACCATCCACGCCCAGTGTTCCCTGCCGGACCTCAACCGCGAGTATCCACGCCAAGTGTTCCCTGCCGGCCCTCATGTAGGAAGATATGGGACAAAGAATGTGCAGAAGAAAGTTAGAAAGAATGTCAGAAAGAATGTCAGAAGATATGCCAGAAGATATGCCAGATAGAATGCCAGATAGAATGCCATAAGATTTGCCAGATAGAATGCCAGAAAATATGCCAGAAGATATGCAGAAATGTATGCCAGAAGATATGCCAGAAAGAATGCCAGATAATATGCCAGAAGATATGCCAGATAGAATGCCAGATAGAATGCCAGAAGATTTGCCAGATAGAATGCCAGAAAATATGCCAGAAGATATGCCAGATAGATATGCCAGAAGATATGCCAGAAGATATGCAGAAGATATGCCAGAAGATATGTCAGATAGAATGCCAGAAGATATGTCAGAATATATGCCAGAAGATATGCCAGATAGAATGCCAGAAGATATGTGCCAGATAGAATGCCAGATGCCAGAAGATATGTCAGATAGAGATATGCCATGATAGAAATGCCAGATATTTTAGAATGCCAGAAGATATGCCAGAAGATATGCCAGATCATATGCCAGAAGATATGCCAGATAGAATGTCAAATAGAATGTCAGAAGATATGTCAGATCGAATGCCAGAAGATTTGCCAGTAAGAAAATGTATAAATGTCATGGTGGGGATCACACGAAGTAAAGTAATTTTACCTGCGTACCCTGTCAGAAATGCTTGCTCCACCAGTCAGATGTGAAACTCTTCGTCGGATTTTTGGGCGTCTCACACAACCGATTCAGGCCCAATGTCATGCAAACACTGAAATCGGTTTATGATCGTATTCCATCCATTGGTCATTCATCATTCCTATTGAATCGGCCATTTGTACCGTGTCCGCCCCAGTAAACATCATGTTCAAACACTTTTTGAAAAATGGTGGAAATCACCATAAATCACCCCTTTTCGCCTCCCACTTCGCACACTTCGCAATGTCCCATCACGCGAAGTGGCCGTTCACATGTCCATCTGCTTCGCTCATCACCAGGCGTTTTCCGCAGACAGGGCACAACACGCTGTCGACCCGGCGGCGCTTGGACCTAGGGAAACCATGGGAACAGACTCCCAGACATAGATAAACAGGATAGAAAGCGTTTCTTTATCAATAGAAACTTAGGTTTTTACAGACATTGCTTTTTCAAAATAAAATAGAAACTGACATGTTTATCATATCTAACAATCTTATCATGATTTTCAGTGTGCCTGATTTGGTTTCCATGAAGATCTACTTGTTTTTGGAGGTGCTTTTTGGAGGAAGGAAAAATGGAGAGGCGACGAGAATCTGGCAAATTGACACCACATTGCTACAAAATCCAATGGTTTGTATAAGTGTTTATCTATTTATGAAATTTATATACTTCTTTCTTTCTTTATTTATTTACTTATTTAAGTTTATGCTCATATTCCCTATTAAAACTTTTAAAACCATCATTTTGGATCATCTCGGGGTATACGGTAGACATTTCTGGAGAAACAACACATGACACACATATCGACCCTGAACGACCTCGAAGTGCAAACAGTGGAGGCTAAGCCAACTCAGGATATACAAAAAAAACAGCATACCCTCTGGTATATTAACATAGACCCTGGCAGACAGGGGTTGGAAGATTCATGTCCATTAAAAAATAGTGATTTTCAGGGTCTATGTTAGTTTACTAGGGGGTATACCAGACACATGGATTCTCAAGACTGACTTTACTGAAAAAAAATATTTTTGGAACCGAGACCTATGAGTCCTGGTCCTTGACGCTTGGAACCTGCCATGCACTTTAAAAGACACCATGAAAATCTGCTATCAAACAAGCATGATGCAGTGGATATGCCCCTATCTTAATCCAAGGGTCCTTTGGACTGAGATCTAGATGTGCATAACTGGTGAAGCATGCTGCTGATTTTGCCCATTTTGGGTCAATGTTGTACACCCAACACCATCAGTAACGACCAAGAATTATGCGAAACCAAAAGCCATTTGAATAGAGATAGATTGAATTTTGGTAGACCCTCCTGAAAACTGCTACAACTATATAGATAATATGATATGATAAAATATAGATATACTTGGATTTCCTGCTCGCCATTTTTTTTTGCAAAGAGGACGATATCTCCCTGGTATTCACGGCTCCAGGACTTGTCAAATATGTCTCAAAATTGTGTAACCCATGGAACCCCTCCATTGCAATCCTTGGGCAAAAACCATTTGAGACAAACCCGCAACGTGGTGGTGCCCCAGTGTAAGTTCGCTGATAAGCCCCATGAAGTAGTTTGATATATATATATATAATATATATATTATATATATATTATATATACATACACACATATGTGTGATTTGCACCAACTGAGTGCAACCCCTTAGTCAACACTTCTTAACCCCCCGAACTCATCAACCAACAGGATTTTTCAGTGCCCCATTGGCTCATCCTTTATCTCCATGGGTTCCAGCTCCATGAGCTCTGCCTTCAGATGGAGCTTTTGAAGTTCATATGGGCTACCCTCTGGCTATGACTAACATAGCTTTAAAAAATGGCCCATTTACAGATGATTTTCCCAGCTAGATACCTGCATTTATAAGGGATTCTCCATGGCGAACTGTTAAATAACCAGATGCTATCTATGGATATGGATCTGGGATGTTCAGTGCTTGCTGTCATTCAGTGGATATCTATGGGATGATGTTTTTTGGCTACCCAAGACATTAGTGTCACTTGAACACCAAAATAGCAGACAAAGGGATGCGAATAACCCCACCAAACTAGTATTACAATGTATTGACATGTATTGATCTATTGCATCCTATTGCCAAATGGCAACATGCTCTGATTATCTTGCACCTGCTTTAGGCGCATGCTAGTCCCTGCATAAAAGCCGCAGAATCTTTGGGGATCATCATTGCCTCGCTTCCGGGAACACTTGGGACACGTGGTTCCCAAGTCGCAAATTCTTGTACAAACAGCTCCATCTGTATCAGGACCCACATATATATATAAAAATGTGTGCATTTAGTGTGTATATATATAGTGTATATATATATATACAGCATCTATACGGATATATATATATATATATATATTCATTGTTTCTTACATTTACATGACATATCATGACATTGTTCACGAAGAAATATCACCCTCGGTTCACCTCGTCCTCTGACAATTCGATGACCTCCTGCAGCTGTTTAACGTGGGGGATCCATGGGAATCCATGACATGCTTTGAACCCAAGGACTCAATGAACTCTCAACGGACTGCGAAAAACAAGGCAAGCATTTTTTTTTGAACTGAGAAGTCTCTCCAAAATCATATCCTTCCAAGTCTGCAAAGAATTTCAATGTGCCCGAACTACACCCTGGGATTTCAACACGCTGAAAAAGTAGGTCTTAGTCTTAGAGTTAATTTCACATCATTCCACAATTAGGTGGTTGTTCCACCAATGGTTGGCTGGTTGGATCCTACAGTACTTTGGGGTGCAATTCCAGTTATAAACCGATTTTCTAAGCTATGATCAATGGGAATTCCAGGATCCTAAAATGGAGGTACTGTACCATATAAGGCCATATTTTGTGGGGATATTACCTTACATAGGCCTGAAAAATAGGCCTTATATATGGTAGGTACCTCCATTTTAGGATCCTGAAGATCTCACATTGATAAAGCTCTCAGTGGATAACCATGGGGCCGTAGGGGCCCCAATGGATGGGACGTATTGCCATGGTGCCATAGTACCCCGGCTATGAGGCAACCCCGCCTTCGCACTCGCAACCGTTGCAACCCCTCCATCCGCACACAGCGGCACCGCGTCTTTGGCGGCCTAGCGGTGAGGAACTTCTCTACTTCGAGGGGAACAAAAACGGTAAACATGGAGGATTTCCTGCAAGTGACCCTTTTTCAGCGCTTCTGGGAGGATGATAGCTTCATAATGGTTCATATTTCTTTGAGGCACCACAGCTATGAGAGTGAAAAACCAGAGTGCCATTCATTTTTTCCGATATTTCACTAAGATTCCAACAAGCTGATGTTCGGTTCCTCAACCAATTGCTGAGGATGCAGTAGCCCCAAAGCGCGACAATTCTTGAGGGCCGTCGTTCCTGTGGGACAGCCCGAAGAGGCTCAACGCAGCTTTGTTCAGCCCGAGGCATGCGAGGGCAGCGCCTGCATCGCTGACCAGCTGCAATTCTTTATCACTGTATTGAACGCTTCTCATCGTTGTCAGCCCTTTGTCTTTCCTGCGACACAACTCGATTGTCGAAATCAAAAGGCCTTGAGTGATGGGATGGCGTTCCAAATAACCGCAGGCGATCTCAGACGCCAGCTTGAGCCGGCTGTCTGGAACGTCGGCAAACTTCCGGGACCTCAAAACTGCTGCAAACTCAAGAGAAAAGTCCGGATGTTTTGGAAGATGGCTGTAAAATCAGCCATGGTTCTTGCCATCTTTTACCGTTCGATGTCCACTATTGTCTCTGTTTTTCTTTTTTTGAGTGGTGCCGCTCATTAAGACCCTTACTTGTGTGAGTGGATTTTTTATATGTTCTAAGGAAGAAAGCTGAAAATTTCCAGAGGATGATACCCAACACTATTCAATCCTCACATATCCTCGATGTCCTTACCATATGATTCATCCGGGTTTGCGCCATGAACCCATTTCCATGAATCATCACCAATTTTGATTTTGATGATGATACATCCTCAACTGGTTGGTGGTATACCTACCCCTCTGAAAAACATGAAAGTCAGTTGGGATTTTTATTCCCAATAGATGGAACAATAAAAAAATGTTCCAAACCACCAACCAGCCAAAAATTGGTGGGTATAGACATATCTAACATTACTTAATCAGATATTTACATCCCTAAAGCGTGTCGAAAAATAAGCCCAAAGGGCTTTTTTAGATCAAACCAGAGGTGCACCATCAGAAGTGACACTCGGTGATTTGGGCGCTTTGGAATTTTAAGTGATACCCAAATCATGATAGTCACAATAGGTATTGGAAGTTAAAATATAGTCAATAGGTATTGGAGGCTTATCATGATCTTTGGAATTTTAAGGGTTTCAATAGGTATTGGAGGTTTCAATAATGGTGCAAATTGCTGCCCTATCATATATTTGATACCCCAAAGCGTTCATGATAATTGGAGGTTTCAATCGGGGTACCCTGGAAAAATCATCCATTCTTTTTTGACTCGCGCAATGCTTTCCGTGTTACCGTTCGGAAAACATGACAGCGGCACACAAGCTAAGTATCCTGGCAGTAAGGGTTTACTAATTGACCCCATTTACTTCAATCCTGCCAAAATGGAGAAATTTGTCTGAATTGTTTGGTGTTGTCAAACCAGGTAGGCATATGGGAGCCTTGGTAGCTTTTATGGAGGTCCAAGGTGGCTGTTCGATACCCAGGGTGGTGAATTTCATAAGGACGCGGATGTTGGTTCATAGTTACAAGATGTACCCGGTGGTACGCTTCAGTGAATGCCAGTTCATACCAGTGGGCTGGGAGCTCCACGTCTGTAAGGAGAAGATAATCGCAAGAATGAATGAGATGGGCCAAATATCATGGCATGTTCAAGCGAGTAAGGGTGGCGCATGATATGTCCCAAATACTGCAGGCGTTTTTGAGAAATAATTTGCGAGGGAGTAAGCTGATTGGGGAGAAATGCAGCTGCTTTGCGTGCTAGAAAAGCATTGGAACAACTATCTGAAGAGGGGGCAAGAACCCGGTGATAATACGAACTTTTGACGCCAAATATTTGACGCAGAACCTTGAAGTTCAGCGCGTTGAATCTCTGGAGCTGGGCTGGAGTGTATGTTTGTGACTCAGAACCGTACAGCAATATTGCCAGAACAATCTGGTTATGTAGTTGCAGTCGCCTTTTAACGGTGATGGATTTGTTGGAGAAAAGTGGGAAGAGGGATCGGAAGGCTGAGGAGGCCTGGTTGAAACGGCGCAGGCAGTCAGGAGAAGAGGACGCAGAGGCATCAAGAACAATGCCAAGGTAGGTAGGGTGGTCCACCACCTGGCAAGGATGGGGCAATGGATCAGTGCCCCCACAATGTTGACACTGACAAGGACGAGACGGCGTGAAAGTAGTAGAAAGCGAAACATCATGGTCCGTATGCAACCGAAGGAGTTGGCATTTATCAGGGTTGAGGAGCAGGCCCCGTTTGGAAGCCTGGAACTGGAGGATATGAAGCAGGCGGTGGATGGTGGTGTGACTGCGAGACATGAGAGCTGTGTCATCTGCGAATTCAAGATGCTGCAGAGGGTGCGCAGCTGAGTGGACCCAAGGGGTATAACCATACGAATTTTGGAATTGAATGGATACATCAGCCATAACAGAAGAAAGAAGAACGATGAAAAGGTACGGAGAAAGTGGGCAGCCTTGGCGGATCCCACGATTTTGGGAATATGTTTCCGAGCAGAAAGACCCGTCCTGGACAAAGAATTTGCAGTCTTGAAAGAGGGCCATGACAGGGTTGATTATCGCCTCTGGGAGGCCATACCTAACAAGAGCTGTCTGCACCGCTTCGCGGGAGACCGAGTCGAAAGCCTGCTGCCAGTCCAGGAATAAAAGGTAGAGAGATGTAGTATGACGTTCAAAATGTTCGAGAAGTCTCCGAATCAAAAAGACCGGAGTTGAAGTAGATCTTGATTTACGAAAGCCGAACTGATGGGGTGACAGAATATAATCAATCGAAGATGCGATGCGGTGTTGGAGCATTGAAGCATATAGTTTGTAAAAGGAATTGGCTAGTGAGATTGGACGACAACTAGATGGTGATCGCGGATCTTTTCCTTTACCCTTGTAGATCATGGCTACGCGAGCCAACTTCCAACTGTCTGGAGCGTCAGCGGCGAAGAAACAAGAATTATAATGAGCTAGGAGTAAATGTTTAAACTGTAAGGGAGACACCTTTATCCAATCCATGGATATAGAATCTGGGCTAGGTGCTTTTCCGACTTTAGACCGCTTGAGCGCTCCATAGAGTTCAGCTATTGTGAAGGGTTGAAGGTTACAGTCTTGGGGCGGATACAAAGGCGTGGAGTCCAGAGGCGGAAGATCAACTGAATTCCAAACATCAGCAACAAGATGTTGGGCAAGCGCTTCGGGTTTGGCCCCTGCTGTGGAGAGACTTCCAGCTGGAAAGCGTACTTGTTTGGTGCGCGGTTGGTAGGTAGCGCGTAAATGCTTTATAGTCCGCCATTGAGAGGACGTGTCCCCTTGGTGGTCACGAGTTATTTGGTCCAAAATCCAGCGTTTGCGATCTTGTTTGGCAGACTTTTTAATTACTTTGCGGAGGTGAGTTTGATCAGGAGAATGCTGATGGATTGTAATGCCAGAGATAAGTTGACGCGTGGTGGAGGACAGGTACGGCTTACGCACTGACATTGTTTTACGTGGGAGGGAATGGGTAGCCGCTGTTGTAAGGACGCGTGCAAGATGGTCAGATTGCTGTGAAATAGGCGCTTGTGAAAAGGAGAGGGGGATGTTTGGGGCCTGAGAAAGTAGAGGCAAAGGAGGAGTGGATGCGTGCCTGCCTATTGGCGCAAGTTGATGCGTGCCTTTGCTTGCATTTGCATCAGCACGCTCATTTCCTTCTATGCCAACATGTGCTTGGACCTTGGCGAAAGCCAAGTGCACTCGAGTGAGTGTGAAGGATAAGGAATGGAAAAGGAGCTCAATAAGTGGGAGATGGTAATCAGGCACGCTAGTACCTTGGAGGATGTCGAGGACATATTGCGAATCAAGGAAGAATGTTACTGGCTGAGTCGGTGGAAAACGGGATAAATAATCCAAAGCTTCAAGAGGAGCCTGCAATTCCGCGGTGTTGTTGGAGCCTATTACATGGAAAGGCAGGCCGCAGCCGACAGGGCCATATCCATCAACTGGTGGCTCGGACAGAAGAACCCAACCCCAACCAGCAGGGTTGCCATATGCAGCCTTGTTGTTGGGACAGGAGCCATCAGTATATAAAGATAGAGAAGGAATTTGATGTTCCGGAACTGGGCAGGGAGTGGTCTGAGAAAAGGAAAGATCAAGCCGTTTTGAATAGCAAGCGAGAGTCCTTGTTTGAGTTGACGAGTGTCACACATGAGAGTAGGGGTCCGAAAAGGAGAAGGTTGAGGCACAAAAGCGGGCAGGGTAACATCGGCCCCCAGAAGAAAGCGCCGATGAAACCAGGGAAGGGTTGCTTCCAAGACAGTACGTATGACACGAAAATGTTTTTTGAAGTCACGGGGGCATACGACATGGTCGAGGACTGCGAAATGGTCAAGCAAGGGCGCATACGGACTAGCGTCCGGGGGAGAATTGATTTCTCTGTATGTTACCAGTTTGTGGTAAGGCCGAGGACGGAATGTGGAGACTATACATGTATCTGTGGCTGCGAGGAAATCATACATATGACTTGCATCCACTTAAGCGTATTACGGTATTACAAAAAAAGTTGGGGCTTTGGAGATATTTTCTCGTTTTGGTTTTTCAAAATTAAGCTATTTTCAGAACTCGTCGCTTTGTATTTTCAGACTTTGTTACAAAAACCTTCATGACTTTTAAAACCATGCCACATGCGTTCTACTAGAATTCTCAGCTCAATTTTCCTTAGTTGTGGTATATGACACATTTTTCTTCTGACACACTTATTGTGGGACAGCTTTTCTGTTCTCTGCCTGGCGACGTCCGCAGAAGGAAATTTCTCGTATAGACGCCCGGCTAGATATTTTAACAAGTGTCATGACTATTTTCTTTTCTCGTTTTCTTTTGGCTCAATGGTTAAGATGCGCCGCTCCATTGTGGCTGTTTCGGCCGCGGTACTGGCTTGGCTCGGCCATTTTAGTGGCTGCTTCGGCCACGGTAGCAATGTCAAGCTTGGAAACCGGGGCCAAATTCAGATGGCGTAGTTCGGGCAAAAAATGGTGTAACATGTTCCTCGTCTCAGATGGCCAGCCAGAGCTAGGGTCATGGTTGGATGTGAAGCAGCAACCTTGGGGTGTTGGTTGTAAAGTGTGCAAGGAAACTGGGGTTTCCAATCCTTTCGCTTCTTATTCAATGACCAAGAAGGGCCAACTGCAGAACTGCAATTTGATGAAGCACCATAAAAGCAAGGCGCACAAGGCAGCGGTGAAGGAATGGTTGAAGGAAGGGGGCTGTGTTGGTCCTAGTCCCGATGCAGCCCTGGCATTGAGTCAGTTTCAAGAGCTGATGGAGTGCTTTGGCGAGAAAAGATCATTGACGCAAAAAGAGCTGCAAATGGCATGGTGTTTGGCAGAGGGGTTAAAAGCTTTGGACCAAACGTTCATTGCGAAATCTTCTCACATTTCTTTGATGCGGGATGAGCGGCATGGGCGGTTGGCCATACGATTCATGGCTGTGGCCCCAGACTTGACAACTCGAAGTGGCTTTTTAGGCCAAGCAAGGCAAGCTGGAACAGGAGCTGCCAATGTCTCCTTAGCCACATGGGCAGTCATGAAGCGTGCTTGCTCTAGATTTTATATGGCTCCTCTTAGTCAGAATCCTGGGCGTTTGAAGAAAAATCTTTTTAAACACCTGCGGTCAAGAGTTGTGGCACTCGCTGCTGATGCAGCAGCAGATGAAATGGCAAGCTGTGAAATATTAAGGTCAGCACACTTGAGTTTGAATACAGAAGACAATCAGCCAATGCTGCCAAACTTGAGGTCAGAAGTGGACAATCGATTGAGGGTTGGACACTGCTCAGGAGCCACCTGGGTATTTCAACTCACCCAAGCTGCTGCGGCCGAGGCTTGAGATTAAGGGCGTAGTCAGGCTGCTTCGGCCTGCTCGTTGCCAGGCTGCTTCGGCCTGCCCGAAACTTTTTTTTGAAAAAAGTGGTTGCTTCAGGCTTCAGCCACAGAAGCTTGGCTGCTTCGGCCAAATCGCCTGGCTGTTTCGGCCAGCAAGGGTTTCGAGAAGACAGACTGTCTCTTAGAAAATAGTGGCTGCTGTGGCCTTCTTGGGACCAGGTTGTGGAAGAGACTTTGAAACCACCAAAGAGTATTTGAATCCAAAAAGGGGAAAATATGTAACATGTTTACTGTTTACTATTCAAATGTCCTTTAACCTGGTAAGGGGGATATTTTCTTTTTTATGTCATAAGGGATTTTGACATATGTTTAAAAATCATCTTAAGAATTACAGGGATGTCACCTCTTAAGACTATAAGACCCTAATTCGGGGACATCCCCTAACCTCCTAAGACTCTAATTCGGGGACGTCCCCTAACCTCCTAAGGGATATAATCAAAAACCCTATCCTATGGAGAGGGCGATTTGCCCTCTCCAACCGAAGGTCGGGGACGTCCCCTAGCTGTGTAAGGAGAGGACGAATAGAGGACGAATGTGTAATACTACTAAGTGTTTCGGTTTTACAAGCTGTTGTCCTCTGTTTGTCCTCTCCAACCGAGCATCGGGGACGTCCCCTACCTGTGTAAGGAGAGGACGAAATGACCTCTCCTTACACAGCATGTTTAACCAAAAACCTGCTGTGTAAGGAGAGGTCGTCACAGGTCGTCATGTTGCCTGAGCTTGGCTGTTTCGGCCACCCTGGCTGCCTTGGGCCTTCGTCAGTGAGCTGTGTAAGAAGAGGGCTGTGAGAGGACTATTGAATAAAATTCCTTAGGGCAAAACAACCTTTTTCGAATAGTCCTCTCACAGCCCTCTCCTTACACACTTCGCTGCTGTCAGTCTAAGGAGAGAACTGTTAGTCCCCTCCTTAGAAGCCTCACTCAAGTCGTTTCTCGTTGTTTTGGGCTCACAAGCTTTTCCGTGTGTAAAAGCTGTTTCGGCTTAAACCGTGAAACGTTCCAGGCTGCCTCGGCCTGCAATCACAGGCTGTTTCGGCCTGGAATATAACCTCACAGACTGGTTCGGTCTTGGAGCCAGTTTGCTACCACAGTCCTATGAGCTCTGCGACGAGTCGATCCACGACTTTTCTCGAAGATCATTATCGATCTGACACCTCTGGACGGCCGCATGGCTTGGGCAGCCTTGCGAAATCGGGTATAGGGTATGTAGGAGTTGCCTTCAACCCAGAGCACCACCGGCTGCTTGCATTGCTTGAAAAAGAAATGACAAACCCTGAGTCCAGCTTGTTTTCGTCAGCTTACAGTGAAGCCGTCGGTGGCAGTGGGCAGGCACCTGTGAATCAGACCGCAAAACCAAAGGCAAAGGTAAAGGCAAAGGCCAAAGGCAAGGGAAAGGCCAAACCAAAGGCTAAGGCAAAAGCCAAAGCCAAGCAAACAAAGGATGAGCAGGAGGAAGGCGAAGAGGAAAACGACGAAGATGAAGAAGACGACGTCTGGAATCCTTTGGGAGACGACGACGATGACGACGAAGAGGACAATGGAGACAAGTGATGTGGCTGCCTCGGCCATAGACGAGACGACGTGGCTGCATCGGCCATACCACGGTTGCATCGGCCGTGTGGCTGCCTCGGCCATAGGCGACGATGTGGCTGCGACATAGGCACTTCGGACCTATAGGCAGTTTTGATTGTGCCTTCCATGCGGGATCGAAAAAAAAGCTGCTTTTAATTTCCCACAAACATGACAGGTTGAAAGGTAAAAGTGTCGACTCTCTTAGGGGGATGTCCTGTTGTCAGTCGGTTTGTCTCATGTTTGCTGTACATGTTCTGAAACATAATCATTTGCGGTTTCTCGCACATTTAGGCTCTAGGCTTAAACTACATATGACCGTTTCCATGCTGATGATGATGCCGCCGCCCGAACTTCCACGATGACGTGGCAACCCCAGTGTAGTCACTAAGCCTGATGCCAAAGTCATCCAAAGGGATCTTCTCAAAAGGTTCCATGTGGAAAAGCTGTACCAGAAGTACAGGCTACTTCAGACCAGCACATGGCCATCGGAAAGCAAGCTTGCTTCCACTATGCGGATCGAAATTGTGAGAAGAAAAGGGGTTAAGTGGATGAGTGAAAAAGAAAAAACAAAGTGATGAGAAGTAGCATTTTGACTGCATCGGCCAAGCTATGGCTGCTTCGGCCAAGCTATGGCTGCTTCGGCCAAGCTATGGCTGCTTCAGCACATGGCTGCTTCAGCCTATTCGAGTCTAATTCATATGATTTCAAAATCTATGGGAACCCATCTTTAATTCACCTGTTTGTGGCTTGCACAAACCAAACTTGCTGTAGATATTTGGAATCCTCGTTTGCCCAAGAGAAAAAATGCGTGGACCGATGATTGAAGCTATTTTCTTGTTGTTGGAAGACATGACATTGTCACTGCCGGCACACACACATGCATTAAAATTTGAGCACACGCAATCTGATATTTCACCCATGGAGACATTAGCACTCCTTTTGGTTTATATGCTTCCTTCTCCTTCATTCCTTTTACAAACACTTTCTTAAAAGAAGCTGTCTACTCCACTTTTTTATTTTTATTTCTCGTTTCAGTAACTTTCTCGTGTAAGTAACTTTCTCGTGTAAGGGCAATTTTTTTTTGTAATACCGTAATGCCGCTAAGTGGATGCAAGATGATACAGGTTAGTGCGCACAATAGTTTCATCATCAGCTCGGGTGGGGGCAAAAATAACTGGGCCAACAAAGTCAGGCATGCTTGACACATGGTTGGAATACAATCTTGTGTTCCAATCGCCCAGAAGGAGAATTTGGTGACTGCGCGAATATTCCTGAACGATATCTGCGAGGTCATCCCAGAAGACATGTTTGCGTTGGAAGTCAGCATCGGAATCCGCCAGCTGGGAAGGAGCATAAATGGAAAAAAGCGCGATTTTACGGGGCTTGGTATTCAGAATCAATATTGCAATGCGGCCCGAAAAGGGATGAAAATCATGAACAAACGGGAGTAAGGAACAATGAACCGCAAATCCAACTCCAGCATATGGTTCTTCAGGTGTGCCGGAAAGAAGGTATCGATATGCACCTTCGGTAATTTCATTGGAGATAGCTGATTTTGTCTCTTGCATGCAAAGCAATTTGACAGAGAATTTCTGCAACGTATCTGACAGCATCTCATATTTAGAGAGACCGATGAGTGTCTCAAGATTCCAGGAGTGGATAGTGAAATGAGGAAGCGGGTATCGAAAAGACAGGTTCCGGGAAGGCGGGAGATCTAGCAGTGATTTTTGAACATATCGGTGGAAAAACTCTGCGCGCGAAACAAGGGTAGGTTTGCAGGTGTGTGGCGGGTACGCTCTGCGTATTTGGTGTGTGCTCAATTTCACCCTTTCCGAGGGACCGTGGAGGCAGGCAAGGGTGAAAAAATCATCCATTTTAATTTCGGAAAATCCATGAAACAAACCATCCAGCGATAAAGGGGTAGCCCATTTTACAGAAACCTCCATATTGATGATGAAAGGGTTATAAGGCTATAAGATGCTATAAGTTCTACATCCTACTGCTGCTATCCCATATTTATTGTCTTGTTATTTTCCCATGGCTATCGACCCAGATCACCACTCGCCTCATTCCGGGAGGAGAAGAAACTGCACAGCTGCCGCTGCCCTGGGGTCCAACTTCGCAAAGGTTGCAAAGATGTCAGCAACTCTGGCAAGGTATCAAATACGTGGACAAGCGAACAAATCAGGAAACCGGACGATAAATACACATTATATATATATAAATATGTTTAATGGAATACCCGCCATGACTAATCTAGGTTCTCGCTCGCAGCTGGGACAGCCAAGTTGAATCCATCAATGATATTCTTTCAACGCAGAGGGGGAAGGCGGATTCAATAATACCCCATTCACAAAAAGAAATAGCATCATGTGTAGACAGACATGTAAACATGTACATGCATACATACATCATATATATATAAATATATTATGTATATAATTTAGATAAAATAAGAAAATACTTTACTTCGCGTTATCCACACCATGACATTTATACATTTTGTTACTGGCAAATCTTCTGGCATTCTATCTGACATACCTTCTGGCATTTTATCTGGCATATCTTCTGGCATTCTATCTGGCATATATTCTGGCATTCTAGCTGGCATATCTTCTGCAATCTGTTCTGGCATATCTTCTGGCACTCTATCTGGCATATCTTCTGACATTCTATCTGGCAAATCTTCTGGCATTCTATCTGGCAAACATTCTGGCACTTTATCTGGCATACCTACTGGCATTCTATCTGACATTCTATCTGGCATACCTATCTGGCATATTCTATCTGGCATATCTTCTGGCATTTTATCTGGCATCTATCTTCTGGCATTCTATCTGGCATATCTTCGGCATCTGGCATATCTTCTGGCATATCTTCTGGCATTTCTTCTGGCATTCTATCTGGCATATCTTCTGGCATTCTATCTGACATTCTATCTGGCATATCTTCTGTGATTCTATGTGGCCGTTGAGGTCCAGCGGTGCACACTGAGCTGGGAAGGTCCCAGGTTGAGGTCCAGCGGTGCACACTGAGCTGGGAAGGTCCCAGGTTGAGGTCCAGCGGTGCACACTGAGCTCGGAAGGTCCCAGGTTGAGGTCCAGCGGTGCACACTGAGCTGGGAAGGTCCCAGGTTGAGGTCCAGCAGTGCACACTGAGCTGGGAAGGTCCCAGGTTGAGGTCCAGCAGTGCGCACTGAGCTGGAAAGGTCCCAGGTTGAGGTCCAGCAGTGCGCACGGAGCTCGGAAGTTAGCGAAGAGTTTGGCGAAGAGTTGGCAAGGCGGAAGTAGAGGTGGAAGTTGATGCAGACATGGTCGAGGAGAAACTGGAGGAGGAGGAGAAGGAGGAGGAGGAGAGCTAGTCGAGGAGGAAGAGAACAGCTCTGATAAAATCTAACAACCCTCACCTGGCAGGTGGGGAAATAGCTTTTCGAGGGAACCATCTGCAACTCCGTCCCTTCCGGCCCTTTTTTTTTCGTCCAAGGGACCCTTCAGCAGCAGCTGCTTCTGATCTCGAAAGCAAGAGATCCGGACCCCCATCAGGCGCAGGGTGCAGGGTAGGAAGGATTCCAGCACCGGTTCCAAGTGCCTCAGAGGTGGGTTGAGATGGAGATGGAGAAAAATACGAACTGGTTGTTGGAGATTATGAATGATTATGGAAAGCCATATTTTTTTTGGGAAATCAACCAACTATAGTTCAATGTGGTGCCCCCCAGTTATAAGTTGGTTTATAAACCTCATTAACTATAGTTATAAGTATAATAAACCATAGTTATTTGACTTATAAGCCAGCTTAGCTATCTAGGGGGCCCCGTAGTAATCTTCAGAAGATCTTCAGCGCGACAAACGTCCCTTTTTTGGGACAAATCGCTGGTGAAATCTTCAGGATTCCGAGTTTTTTTTCGGCCTCCTCCCCGACCTGAAATAAGGCCATTTGGGAATAGCTATATATGGCAGTGTGTCAAAACCTTGTACCCCTGGTGAACATCAAAATAGCTGGTAAATGGATGTTCATCCCCCTAAAAATGGTATTAATAGGTATTGCTCCATACCCATATATGAATGTTAAATACCTGTACTAACCACCATTCCAGTGAGGGAGAACAGTGAGGTCGTCATACTTTACCCAGAGGTAAGAGACGTGGATTCGTCATTGTAAGGAGTTACACTAACTGGTTATTGGAGATTATGGTAAGCCATTTTATGGGAAATCTATCAACCAACTACCCTCTGGTAAATTAACATAGACCCTGGCAGATAGGGGCTGGAAGACTAGTTTCCATTAAAAATTGGTGATTTTCAGGGTCTATGTTTATTTACCAGAGGGTAATATTTAATGTGATCTTTAGTGCGCTCAACGTCCCCTCATATGGACAAATAAGTGGTGACATGTTCAGCATTGGATCTGTTCGTGTTTGGCTCCCAGAAGGGAACAGTACATCCGCATCAAGATGCTATGACATGATAAGAAAAGACACATCAAACTGACTTCACGCACTCTTGGTGTCATCCCCGTAAAAGAAAAATCACTTTGATACTTCCCATGAGACAAAAACATTATGTAGTAAACGCTGATTAATTCGGCTTCTTACTGGTGCTTAGCCAGGATTTTTTGGGAATGAGTAATAATCATCGCATTCCCCCATTCCCATCCATTCCCTGCTAAGCACAAGCAAGTCATGGAAGCCGCCGCATTGATCATGGGATGATTATTACTGGTGATTATGGATAATTCCCATCCATTCCCTGCGTTTAGCACCAGTAAGTCATGTTGATGGGCCATTTTTAATAGGTAAATAACTTAAATAACCATTTTTGATAGGTAAACCATCTATAAATGGGTCATTTTCCATGGCTATGTTGTGTTCAATGTGGATCCCCATTCCCCGTTGCATCACACGACAGCCATTTTTACATCTGCCTGCGATGGGATGAACATGATGAACTGGGACAAACAAAAAAAACATCCCGCCATTTGGCACAACAAACAGCGCTATTTTTCATCGCAAAGCCATGACATTACTATGGTCGGTTTGACCTCATGTTCCATGACATTTTGTCTGATTGGTGGTTGACCTACCCCTCTGAAAAATATGACTAAGTCAGTTGGGATGATGACATTCCCAATATATGGAAAAATAAAATTCATGTTCCAAACCACCAACCAGTTTTGTGTTTTGCCCCGGAGAAATTGGAGGTCGTCCAATCATGCCAAGCAACTTGAAGAGTTCTTGCGTCACTCTGTTCACTTCTTCCTCGGTGGTCTCCTCATACAACCCCCGATGGTTGATGCTCAAGGCATTCCAAGGCCCGCGTCCAACTTCCAACGAGTCCAGCCTACTTAGCATCTTCAAACAAAACAACCAAACAATGATGCTATTGACGATAATTCTGATTAATTCTGCAATTTTGATTGCAATCTATCATATTTCATCCCAAATGATCTGATGTCTGGTGCATCATGTTTCAAATTATCTGAAAATTTTCACATACCCTCTGGTAATCTTATATTGAAAATTGCCATAGAAATAGTGGATTTTTCCGATTAAACATGGTGGATCTTTCCATAGCTATGGTCATAACCAGAGGGTAGATCTTATCAGCCTCCCCAGCTCCCAGGCGGCTTCCAGCGCTCCTTCCCGTCCCCAAAGTTGGCCTTGAAGCCAATGGCCCGAGGCACCGAGATCTGCTTGTTCCGCACCTCGAAGCCTCGGTTAGGAACACGGTTCGGCGACGCCTGGGGATCAACGAAAAACATGGGAGGTACTGATGTGATATTTTCCAACAACATAGGGATTCAATCGATTGTGAGATATGATATGATGGGAATGTGTAATGGGATAATGAGATATGTATATATATATATACACTTACAGTTGTGTATGTATATGTATATACATATAAACATATATATATATATATATGTACAACACAAAAACGAATAGGATTTAAACCACACTTAACCACACCATTTAATGGCTATACCATGGGATGCCCAACAACATGGTTCTTAAATCCTGGTAGGCTTACACCGTATTATACTCTGCTCATCAAATAAACCATCCAACATTGATTTGATTAACATGGTTGGATGGTTTATTTTATTAATTAACATTTTAAACTACATTGTAGTATACTCTGGTAATACATTGTTGGAAAAAAACATGGAGATTTCAACAATGATTCAACACATATCCAAACATGATTTTAAAACATGAATTGAATACATGTCCAACTAAACATGGAGAATTTAAGCCACTGCCACTGCTACGATCTTCTGTGAAAAATCACCGTGGGTCGTCTACCAGCCATTTAAAATCCACTTACGTTTACATCCCCGTGTCACTTGGGATCATCATCTCAAACAGGCAGCCATAATTAATATTTAGAGTGATTACTAAACATTCTGATCATCATAAACTTGGGATCACTCTGATTAAAGTATGGCTGATTATCCCAATTGATCACATTAATATTTAGAGTGATTATCCCAAGTAAACACTAATTGATCATTCTGATTAAACTTGGGATCATCATCTCTGATTGATTATTTACGAGAACACAACACGTAATCATTACGAATCACTTGTTTAATCGACAGTCAGCCATCAGCTATCAGCAATCAGGATCATTGGACGTATATTATTTGCATTACATTTCACTCAAAATCAGCCATTGATATTAGGATTATTGGAACATATTGGAAACATTATAAAGATTTCGATTTCACAATCATGACTATTCTTTCAAGAGAAACATCAGGAGTATGAACTATATTCAAGTCTACAGCCAGGATGCTTGGACAATCCGATTGTCCATCTCCATATTTTCAAGAATTTCATCCAGTGATAACATATATATATATTATATTATATTTCCCCACCTGCCAGGTGAGGGTTGCTAGATTTTATCAGAGCTGTTCTCCTCCTCCGCCTCCGCAGCCGCATCCTCCTTCTCCATCTCCTCCGCCGCCTCCTCCTCGCAGTCCAGATCCCAACCGCGACTTCCAGATCGCAGTGGGCACTGCCGGACCTCAACCGCGACTTCCAGGTTGCAGTGGGCACTGCCGGACCTCAACCGCGACTTCCAGATCGCAGTGGGCACTGCCGGACCTCAACCGCGACTTCCAGGTCGCAGTGGGCACTGCCGGACCCCAACCACGAGCTCCAGATCCCAGCGGGCACTGCCGGACCTCAACCGCGACTTCCAGATCGCAGTGGGCACTGCCGGACCTCAACGGGAAGAAAAGATGTCAGATAGAATGTCAGAAGATATGCCAGATAGAATGCCAGAAAGAATGTCAGAAAGAATGTCAGAAGATATGCCAGACAGAATGTCAGAAGATATGCCAGAAAGAATGTCAGAAGATATGTCAGATAGACTGTCAGAAGATATGCCAGATAGAATGCCAGAAAAAATGTCAGAAGATATGCCAGATAGAATGTCAGATAGAATGCCAGAAGATATGCCAGATAGAATGCCAGAAGATTTGCCAGATAGAATGCCAGAAGATATGCCAGAAGATATGCCAGATAGAATGCCAGATAGAATGCCAGAGAATGTCAGAAGAATGATATATATGTAGCAGAAATAAGAAGAAGATATCAGAAGGTATGCCAGATAGAATGCCAGAAAAAATGTCAGAAGATATGCCAGAAGAATGTCAGAAAGAATGTCAGAGATATGCCAGATAGAATGTCAGAAGATATGCCAGATAAAATGTCAGACGATATGCCAGATAGAATGTCAGAAAGAATGTCAGAAAGAATGTCAGAAGATATGTCAGAAGATATGCCAGAGGATATGCCAGAACATATGCCAGAAGATATGCCAGATAGAATGCCAGATAGAATGCCAGAAGATATGTCAGATAGAATGTCAGAAGATATGCCAGACAGAATGTCAGAAGATATGCCAGAAAGAATGTCAGAAGATATGTCAGATAGAATGTCAGAAGGTATGCCAGATAGAATGCCAGAAAAAATGTCAGAAGATATGCCAAATAGAATGTCAGAAAGAATGTCAGAAAGAATGTCAGAAGATATGCCAGACAGAATGCCAGAAGATATGCCAGATAGAATGCCAGAAAAAATGTCAGAAGATATGCCAGATAGAATGTCAGATAGAATGCCAGAAGATCTGCCAGATAGAATGCCAGAAGATTTGCCAGATAGAATGCCAGAAGATATGCCAGAAGATAGGCGCCAGAACATATGCCAGAAGATATGCCAGATAGAATGCCAGAAGATGTGTCAGATAGAATGTCAGAAGATATGCCAGACAGAATGTCAGAAGATATGCCAGAATGAATGTCAGAAGATATGTCAGATAGAATGTCAGAAGGTATGCCAGATAGAATGTCAGATAGAATGCCAGAAGATATGCCAGATAGAATGCCAGAAGATTTGCCAGATAGAATGCCAGAAGATATGCCAGAAGATATGCCAGAACATATGCCAGAAGATATGCCAGAAGATATGCCAGAAGATATGCCAAATAGAATGCCAGATAGAATGCCAGAAGATATGTCAGATAGAATGCCAGAAGAAATGTATAAATGCCATGGTGGGGATCATTCGAAGTGAAGTAATTTTATATGTGTTTATATATTTCTTTATATGTGTTTATATATGTGCTTATATATTTGTTGATATATTCTTTATATACTCTGTTTGTTGGTTTCAGCCCCTCTGAAAAATATGAAAGTCAGATTGGATCATCATCCCAACTATTGGGGAAACATAAAATTCATGTTCCAAACAACCAGCCAGTATTTAGATGGTTTAACCATGCTTACCATCTGGTTATTTAACATGGCCATGAAAAATCCCAACCATAAATGGAGGTTTTGATAGGTAAACCATCTATAATGCAGATAATTATATTATATAACCCATCTATACCCATAAAATAACCAGTAATATAATATAACCATAGTAAATGGCCATGTTCCAAACCACCAACCAGATAAATCATGGAAAAATGGCCTGACTTCTGAAACTTTTTTTGTGACAATCCACCAACAAAAATGGAGCTTTTCACTGAGAAAATGCCATCTTTCCGAGCCGCTGGAAGTCTTCACCTTCAACGTCACCACGCGACATGCCAAGGCCGGGACTGAGGCCGCCATGTCCTGGAGACACCGCTGGGCGCTGGGAGAAGAATTGGAAAAAATGGTATAAAATGGAGGAAATCTGGTATTTACCCATGAACAATGGTGATTTACCCATGAAAAATGGTGATTTACCCATTAAACATGGGCAATTATATCTGGTTGGTGGTATACCTACCCCTCTGAAAAATGATGGAGTGAAAGTCAGTTGGGGCCCGATGACATTGTGATGCCAGCGGAGCCAGTAAAGCTGCCGGTGGTTGGTGAACATGTGTTAAGCAGCAGCAAAGTTTCTGGATTTTTGAGTTGCCCTCTGGTTATTTAACATAGCTATTGAACATGGCCATTTATAGTGGATTTACCCATTAATAGCATAGTGATTTTCCATGGCTATGTGGCTGTTTACCAGCGGGTAAATGGATCTTAAGAGGAAAGAATGTAAGAATTCTCATACCAATCAAAAAAAGGGACATAGTACTCTCGAATGAGATATTGGAATGACTATATGGAAACAATGGGATTCGAGCGGGATGTCTACCATCTGCCAACTGCAGGATTTCGCAACCATCCACAGTGACAGTAGTGGGAGAAAAAATGGTGACTTCATGGAGAAATCCACGGGCAGAATGGGATATGTTACTGGGATATTGAACCGTACTTCCCGTGGAAAATGGGATAGCAATATACCTTGGAAGAGTGGGATAGCATGGGGATAATCCTGGGAAGTAATATGAAATCGTGGGAAAATCATAAAATATAGTGACTCAGTGGGAAAGAATGAACTTTTAACCAGGTGCAGTTAATCATCAAATATTGACTTGATGGGAAATAATCATGGGATATTGATATAGCAAAAATAGGGATGACTCATACTTTGGGGGGATATGTTATGTTGTTGCTGTTGTATTTGATGATTTCGAGTTTAATCGACTTGATCAGTTGATAACTTTGGGATCATGATACCCTCCAGTAAAATGAACCATTTATACATGATTTTGCTTTTAAGATAGTGATTTTCCATAGCTATGTTAGTTTACCAGAGGGTAATCTTTGGATATTGTTGAAGTTAATTACGATATTGTTGACAAACCAGGCCAAGGTGTCACGGTGTCACCAAGGCACCACGAAATCTTCATTGGTTCTTGGCCGCCGAAATCTTCAGGGCTTGGTCAATGACTTACTGCTGCGCATGTAGGGAATGGATGGGAATGGAAAATGGGATTATTATTGATAGTTATTATGGTAAAAAGGGTGCCTGAGCTCCATGTTCCTGAACCCATCTTTTTGCATCCTCCAAAAAAGGCTCAGCTCAACATCCTGAAGATGTTTTCTTTGATCAAACTCAACATACCTCTTGATCATCCCCAATATAGATTGGCAGCAAGAGAGAAAATTCTCATGCCGCCAATTAATAAATGTCTTCAACCATCAAAAAATGGCACGACAGGGGTGTTCCAAGATATTATAGCAGAAGGGTTTGGAAATTGGCCAATAATACCTCTAAATCGACCCAGAAGCAAGGAGGTGATGCGATTGTCATGGAGGCTATTGTTCAGTAGTATGTCAGATCTTTTCCCCCTCCATTTGCATGGTAGTGTTGAGCAATCCATGTTTCCTCTCGTATGGATGGTATATCTGGCGTGTTGGGGGAAACCTTCCAAAACATGGCCTAGTATATTAATTCTGTACCATGTTATCCCATTATATCCGTATTATTGGGTATTGGTATCTTATTATTTCCCATTTTAAGTCCCGTATTTGATGGTTAAACTGTATGATTTCATATGATTTCCCGTCTCTGCGAGTCACTAAAAAAATGATGGTTCTCCCATTAGATTCTTCAGGTGAGTCAAGTATTTCGCTCTGGTAAACAGCCACATAACTATGGAAAATCACCATTTTTAATGGGTAAATCAACTATTTCAATGGCCATTTGCAACAGCAAACTCTTAGTTTACCAGAGGGTACTTTTCATGCTTATGAAATGCTATGAATATGACCTACCTTGACCTACCTTGACCTACCTTGACCTACCTTGACCTACCACCGTCGCGCGGAGATCTCCATCCCGTGCGGCTCCTCGGCCACGGAGCGGCAGAGGTCCTGCAGCCGCTGGCGCAGCTCCACAGCCTGGAACTCGTTGCGGAAGGTGCGCTCGCAGCTTAGCGACTTCCTATGCCGAGCGGAAAGCGGTGGGAAGATCTTCCGGTATGATCCATAGTCAACTTAAACTTCAATGGATGCTGGATGTAAATGGGGGAAATCTTCTATGATTTTTGGATAAAGAGTCAAAAATTGTCAAATTTGGCTTCAATTCTCATGGTTTATCATTGCTATATCCATTTGTTTGATACTTTGGAGTAAAAAAAATGCTAAGGGTGATAGGTTTTGAGATCATCCAAATTCAGATAAATTCAGGGATTATATCAGGTAAAACCGCTGAGTTGGATCCAAATAAGAGTTTCTTCATTGTATAATATAATAGTAATAGTATGGTGATATTTCACCTGATATTGGTGGATATTTTGATCAATCAAATACAGCGACATTATCAATTGAACAGGATAATCTATGATAACTTGATATACTTTGACCGCACTGATTTTTTTTAGTGTATCCACATGTTGATTTTATAGAGATAGGTCAGATAGGCGATATTGATAATTCCAGACATTCGATTTTAGATGATTTTGGATGACTATGTGGATATTGGTGATATTCTTCGGATGGAGATGGGAGGGTCGTGATTTTTTTTCCGGGATGGGATGTTGTGAGTATGGTGATGACGGACCGCAAAAACCAACTGATATTAATCATTGCTGTACAGAGTATGTCTGGGTAAGTTATAATATTCCACTAACTTGAATTAAGGCCATAAAAGGGGATGGTTTCCTTTAGTAACCATGATTCCAGGGTTCGGGAGAACAGTGGGGCCAGGTTCAGAGTATGTTCCCAGCTCCACTTGGATAATCCCAATAGTAAGGGCATATTGAAATGCAGAAAACAAAATATGGACATGTCAAAAACCTTACGAAAATGGGAACATGTTGGAAATGTCCATGTTCTTTCTGCTTCAGCATGCCTATAGATAACATAATATACATATATATACAATTACTGGTTGGTGGTTTCAACCTCTCTGAAAAATATTAGTCAGTTGGGATTATTGTTCCCCAATCTGTGGAAAAATAAAAAATGTTCCAAACCACCAACCAGTATATAATTATATATTTACAAGTAAGTAGTAGTTGAATAGTATGCTTTATCCTAACAAAAACACACACAAACACACACTGACTGTACTGACCATTTTCCCATCTCGGTCCTCCCCACTGCGCCCACTTCATCCCCTTCTTCTGAAAGCTCCTCGGCCACAACCGAGCTGTCCATCGAAAGTAACGCTTAGTGAAGTCGCAATAATGATAAAATGGGTGGTGGTGGTGGATCCTATTTGCTTTACATTAATGTAACATTAGATAGAAATAGAAAGATTATATGATATATGGATACATGATGATACATTATTACCAATATGTTACCATGAACGGTAATCTTTCACCATTTATGTCTCATGGATTTTCAATGTAAACCACCTAAATTCTATACATATATATATATATGTATGGATAGTATGAACCATGTAGATCAGATATAGATATAGATATAGATGTAGATGTAGATATAGATATAGATGTAGATATAGATATAGATATAATACAGTGATGTGGGTAAAACAACAATCAACCACCCATGACTGGGATTGGTTTATACCACCCATAAAAATGGCGGTGACTGGGGGATGGTTTATGGCATTGTTTTACCCGCATTAAAATACATCAATATACATCAAGATAAATCAGCACGAATCAAATTAACTAGTGTGAATAATACCGATTACATATAGTATCTATCAATCATATTATGCAACAAAACTATCCATGGGCTAATTATGTTGTCATCCCTATTATGGTTTATGATAATCACCATTAAGCCAGATAGATCAGATCCTCATGGTAACCTATCAACTATGGTATTTTAAATAGTGATCCGGATTATGAAAGTAACTAATGGGTATAACTTCGATCTACCCCCGGGGTTGTAACAGGCGTCAGGCAATGGAGGAACTGCCCCAGATGCCCGCTGCTCAACTTACCGCCGTGGAGCTCTAAATAATAGATCTCCTCTGAATCGAGGCTCTCTAGCGCGAACCGCACCAGAATGTACAATGCGAGGGTGATTCCAATTGCTCGCTGCAGGCATTTGTCTGATGCCAATCGGCGCAATGTGTTTGGGCGGACTGCCAAGTTGGTGAAATTGCTACATTTCCACTTTCTCCTGTACAGGGCGAAGGTTCCGCGGTTCTTCCACACGGGTAGATTTCGCTTTCTGTCTTGCTGTCTCACAAAGGTGCTGGAACAACTTCTCGTCCACATTCTGTCCACTGGCCAACTCCTTAGGCTCAGGACATGCTCAATCAATAGTGGTTTTGGAGATCCTGGAGAGTGATGAACGCCATGGACAAGTTCGGACAGCTGGAAATAATTATGGATGGCTCACACAATGCATTGATAAACCCAAAGCCAAAAATGATCCAAGGCATGCTGAAGATGCTGAAGGTTTTGTTTCAAACCCTACACCCCCCTCCTGGGTGCTTGCAAGCAGCTTTTGCCAGAAGGCTGTCCAGCCTAGCGATTTGGTCAGGAGAACGGCGGGGCTCGGCGGGTTTCGCTTTCATGGCTTTCATCACTTTCATGGCCTTCATGGCTCGACTATAATGCGCTTGCACCTTAAGAAATCCTGTCTGTCTTGTCCAAGAGTTTATGATGTTGTATATGGCATGTAAACCAGAAATGCCTTGACATGACTGCCACAATGTATTCTGTCACGTTCATATCATTCATGGCTTCATTGCTATTCCTTCAGCAAAGGCATGGGAAAGGGCTTGGCAAACTGATGAACACTCTGACCGCACTGGGCTTGACTGTTTTCACGCATGGCAGCCATGCCCAACCCAAAGGCTTCGAGGCTGCGACTCTCCATCACACTGTGGATTTGTCACCGCATGTGAATACTTGTTGAAGCAGGATCAAGCAGGCAATCTGGAGACTCCTTTTATTGGTCGTGGAACACCAGTGAAAAGGTCAATCTCGGATATATTGCTCATGCGCCCTACATAGATTTTGGGACACAGTCAATATGGACAGTTGGAGAGCAACCCTGGATCGCCCCAAAAGGTTGGAGCAGGTGAAGGAGTGATTTGTGGACCGAAAATTCATGCATGGCATCTAAATATTCAGGAAAACCCAAGAACAATAAGATTTGATCACTGGCGTTGCAGGGCCATGGCAGGCATTAACAGCGACAGGCAACTCACCAGATAAATATGCCAAGTTGCTGGGATCCCAAACCAAGACCTCGAGCATTTCTGACGCAAGGTCATCTCGACATTCGCCATCCAGTGGCACAAAAGCCTTTGAAGAAGCTGGGTCCAAATGAAAACTGCCGCCGAGAAGTCCCCGGCCCAGCCTGCCATTTGCAAGCTTTGTATGCTTTGTGCTGTTGGCAAGACGTCATACATCTCGCGACAGTGTCTACAATATCTACAATGCCAATGCGTTCCTGGACCCTGCCTGAGCTCTATGACATTAAGCCCAGACTTCAAATAGGTTCGGTCGAAGGCCAATACCCATCGCCTGTCTGCAAGTCGTAGTTGCTGGTCTGATTGCAAGACTCAACTACTGTAATCTAGAAAATCCGATATGGATTGGCGGCAGGGAAAATAAAACCTGTGACTGGAGCCACCAACACAGGAGACACATCCTGCCAGGTAGGAAACTGGATGCGCGCCACCTGTGTCTTTTTCTTTGTTGGGCTGTGCGACTGTCATGGTTTCCCCCTGCGTCTGCAACATTGTCATCATTGTCATACATTTTCTTGCGTCTTCGTCATGGAGATGGAAACTTGCCCTGTTCTTTGCAATGAAATCTTATCTTGCGCACTCAGAATCTTGGCAAACCAAAATTAAAACAATTTTGTATTGTAAAGTGCGCTTTGTATGTTGAAAGCATGACATTCGTTTTCACCTGTCTGTTAGGATTGCAGCAAAATTCTCACCAGGATTGCGGCGTGACTAGAATATTATTATGTCCAAAAAGAAAAGGTACCGCTCTAGCCTGCAGCAGTCTCATTCCAGGCCTGTACAGGAGCTAGTCACCACGACTGAGCCTTCCAGAAGCTTCTGGAACCTTGCTTGCACCGGAGCCACCTACCAAGACCGGAACCTTCTCGAACTTTGCCCGGAACCTGACCCCAAACATCCCAAATCTGCAAACCAAGACCCCAATCTTTGTGGAATTTTGCCCGGAAGTTGCTCCGGAACGTACACCGGCACCACTAATATACCAACACCGGAACCTTCCAAAACTTTGTTCGGAACCTGACTCTGAACTTGAAATCTTGCACACTCTCGTCCGGAACCTGCCCCCGAACTTGCATACCAAGACCGGAGCCCTCCAAGTCCGGAACGTTCTGGAGCCTTGCTCGGAACATGCTCCAGAACCACCTACGTAACCAAGACCGGAACCTTCCGGAACCTTGCCCGAAACCTATCCCGGAACCTGACCAGGAAGCTGCACCGGAGAACACCGGAGCTCTGGGCTGAAGGCCCCATTTAGCCTGCCTATAGAGCTTATACGCTGTGGAAAATATTTCACAAGGCATACTGACCCCGAAGATGGGTCAACAACACCCAGACACCATGATTTTTCTAGATTGGACATGCGGCTTGGACACAGCTTAAAGTATTGCCAAACAAGGCTGCACACAGAAAAGATCTCTTTTTGTTGATTTCCGCGATTTCCATGATTTCCTTCTTTTGTATTCACATTGCCCCAATGTGACCAGGAAAACACGCATACCACTTGGGTGACCGTGATGAATAAAAGACCCAGGGGCTTGCAAACAAAATATGTGCAGCATGCACATACAGGTGCTATAAGAATTGAATCTGCGCAGGTATGTGCATAAGATTTCAACATGCATCTAGACATCCCACATCATCCGGGCCCTGGCCTTGATGGGCTGGATACATGCTTCGGCAGGAGGCCCTCAAGCAAGTTGAAATTTTCCAGCAGGCAGTCGCCGCCATCGATTGACAATGCTAAGGGAGGATGCGGTAGCCCCAAAGCGCGACAATTCTTGAGGGCCTCCTTCCTGTGAGAGCCCGAAGAGGCTCAACGCGGCTTTGTTCAGCCCGAGGCATGCGAGGGCAGCGCCTGCATCGCTGACCAGCTGCAATTCTTGATCACTGTATTGAACGCTTCTCATCGTTGTCAGCCCTTTGTCTTTCCTGCGACACAACTCGATTGTCGAAATCAAAAGAAGCCATGGGCAGAACCTTGCAGAGGAAACAAATCACGTTGACGCGGCGTGCGTGGCACAAGCAGGTCACAGAGCAACACTATATCTGCACACATCCTCGCCCGCCTGAGGGCCTGGCCTTGCTGTCCAGCAACAATTTCGCCATTTTGACAATGTCTGGCAGCCACAGGTCAGTGTAGCTGCAGCACTTCTCTGTTTCATCCTATTGCGCAACGCGGCAACTTGTGCATTTTACATTGCCAATCTCGGCCCCTGATTTTATCTGGGGCTGCTTTGACGGCATCGTCCAAATCTTCCTATCTGTGAATTCCTTGGCTACTGTGTGCAAAACAACCATTTTAGCAGACATGATTTCTATACCAACTCACCATGTTCTTCTGAAGACAGTCTCCTCTGCAAGGGGCTTGGCTGGGTTGGAGAGCGTCTGATCAGGTATCTCGACCTGTAGTCCAGAAGAGGCAGTGGTGAAGTTGGCCTGGCACAAGCCGAAAAAGTTGTGGTCATCCACCAGTAGCTTTGGCGCAGCGCCGAGGCAATCTGGGAGCATCTCCGACAGAGCAACTGCTTCAGCCACTGCGCCCAAAGCCACATCTGTCACAGACTTGGCTTCCCGAAGCTGCCTCCTCTTTATCTTATGCTCCCGCGACTGCCTGAGCGTGCTCTGACAGCCGCAGAAACAAACTTACCAAAATGTCATGTTGTCTTGCTATCTCGTAAAATGCCAAATCTTGTTCCAAGGGGGCTATTTGCGATGCAATCACCCTTGCGTTCTTATTCTGAGTTATTTGCCAGTTTGTAGCACAGCTGTCCAACAAGTTAAGTTTCAGCACACATGTGGAAAGCGTAGTGTTTCATCCTTGCAGGGAGAAAATTCCATATCGAAACCAATCCATTGAAGCCCGAGCGGCGGAGGTTAAACCTTGAAGCAGGCTGCAAAAAGGATAGAGTACCTCGAATTCTAGCTTGTATCATATGCCTTCATACCTCCACCTAAAGGCATGTGGGATGATGTCCCTCCAATGAAAAGCCTGCTCATGAGCTGCGTGTGAACACTGTATCACAATCATGGCAGTGACCATAACGGTGTGCAAGTAGCCACAAGACTCCAAGTGAGCAAGCCCCCAATTCAAAATTTCAACATCAACTCAGCAAGCTACCTTTGGAGCGCTTCCTTGATAGTTGCTTCTTTGGCAGGGGAAGGATGAACATGTGCGCCCAGCCATCCGCCAGAACCGCGCTCCTTCTCATAGAGCTCTTTGCTGTTGCTGAAGCAGGCCGCAAGTAGTTCGGTGCCAGGCTCAAGCTCGCAGACGTGCTCTCCAGGGAGAAGGGGGATAATCGAAAGTGCCTGCACGCAGAGGCACATCTGGGACAGAGGCCAGGAGGCAACAAACAACATTGGAATGTTATTGTTGCTGCAAAGGCTTTCTGCAGGGTTTGCTCCTATGAGAGAGACACCACAAGGATCTAACTCTCTGAATTAAAAACATAAGAACATTTCTACTGAATCTATCTGAATTACTGCTGCACGCTCACATTCCTTCGGTTGTCAGGTGGTCAGCTTGTCAGCCTCCACAGAACTATGTGTTGGGTAGCCAGCCACACCTAGGTTGGTACCTGTTAAACAGATCAGCCAGTCACTCTGGGACAACCTGCGCGCAACCTAGGGCACTACTGCGCGAACCCCAGTCTCTACGAGACCTTCAAGAAACAAAAATCTACAACTAGGCATGCTCCTATTTACGGCCGGTGGGAGATCCACAGCAATGTGCTATTTTGGCAAAGGCACTGGAGCGAAAATATCACATAGTGGGAATCTGCAATGATTAGCGCAAACCAAGCCTTCCTAACTGGATGCACACAATAGCAAAGTAATGCTAAAGCCCCCATGCTTAATACAGCGAGACGTTAGATATCCTGTGCCTGAAGCAACGAATGCAAGCACTCACCAGGGAGCTGGTCACCCATGAACCGCTTCGATTTTCCGTTCTTGGCCTCCTTGACAAGGAACTCTCCAATGATCTTGCCAGTTTGCCAAGGCTTGGACTGCTGCAAGCGCTGTGAAACCCCAGAGGAAATGGGAGCTGAAATGCATAGGACGGGAAGCCAGCCTTCACTTCCATCTTTGCCTGGCAAATTCGCGGTGCACAAGCGATACTCAAGCTTGCTGCTACCAGGAGATCCAGAAGCCTGCCGCAAGAAGGCCACGATGGCAGCCAGCATTGCCCAGCAGCTTTCGGTCGTCGATGGTCGGAGAACCTTATATGGCGGCTAGGTGCGCAAACGCTGTAAAATTAATCGTTTTCTCTTGTCTTGAAATAAAAAGCGGAAACGTGACAGGCTTGCGGACAGGCTACAGCCTTGTAACATGGCACGCTTGTCTTTGAATTTACCCAAGCTTTGAGAACTGGCTGGAATGCTTTTACGTAGACACTGAAGATGCTCAAGGATGCTAAAGACATCCACCCCCTCCTAGATTCTGAGCTGAGTCGCCAGGATTGCTGCTCCGTCAAGGGTGTCTGCAAGCCAATTGATGATCGTTGCGCCCAATCGCTCATCTTCTGGCTCCCGCAAATGACACAGGAAGCTCACTTACCCATTTCGGAAAAGTGGCTTCCATCCATCTGGTGCTTCATACCTGGTTGTCTGGTCACAGAGGGGCGGCAAAGGGTCTTAGGAAACTCTTTTGGTCATTTCCAAAGCAAAATCAAATGGAACATGTAACCGTATACTTCAATCAATGTGCTTCAATCTAGGCACGCATTGGAGCCTGCTCCTCCAGATGTCTTTGCCTTCAAGGATGGAATGTAGGAGAAACCAGGTTGGGAGACAGACTCCTCTTTTTTTGCTCCTAATGTCAAACTCTTAGCAGCTTCCCGGATCAAGGGCAGCAGCTTCTCCTGGAATTGCAGCATGTATTTGCTGGCTTCCGCTTGAAATAGCTGGACGTTGGCCTCATGCCATGCTGCGCTGTTTTCTTGAGCAGCCATTTTCAATTTCTCCGCCTCCTCTCGAACTTTTTGCTGCTGCAAAATCTTTTGTTGATGCGCCAGCTGCTGCTGCTGCGCAACCTTTCTAGCAGAGGCTCTCGCGTAGCTCGTCCACAGCCTCAAAGGCGTCCCTGCCTCGAGGTCACCATCTAGTTCCCTGCTGGCCCACGCAGCCAGAACTGCTTCCTGGCCGAAGGAGCTGGGAAATCTGGCGAGGATACAAGCCACACACACAATACACTGTTTGTTGATGATGGTAGCCATGTAGAACCAGCGTATTGCACGCGGCCACGCGAGAAAACCAAAAGCAATGTTGAGCTGGCAACGCTGTATAACATCGGATGGAAGTGCTAAAAATTGCCACCAAGTCTGCGTCCAATTCTTAATATGTTTACTCAGTTTACTCCCTTCGAAGCCTTGATAGCTGATTCTTCCTGGTGGATGCCGGACTTGGCCAACTTGATAGCCAGCTCGCGAAGACGAGCTCGTTTGGACTCTGGCACCCAATTCCATGACAACTTTGCGTCAGTTGATGCGCCGTCATTGTCTGGCTTCAGCCGGGTTTCCTGCACAGAGCTTTCAAACTTTGATTCTGCAGGAACAGAAGAACATGTCAATGGCAACTGCACTGGATTGCTTTCTGCATTGAAAGGGTAAGAAATAACATCAAGAATTCTGCGATTTCATTGGTGTTGCGTATATGTATCTTGATGACAATACTGTGGCTTATAGCTCAAACCCTCATGGATTTTCTTTGCAAGTCATATGTCTGGCCGCCAGACCTTCTCTTTCAGCACTTCCAGATTCATTCTTTGAACGAACCAGAGCTGCGACTCTGGCGTGAACTCAGACATACCCGAGGCATTTGACTTGCGGATGTTGGACGGCAGCAAGTACCTCAGAAGCCAAGACAATGCCAGGGATACGTTGGTCCCAATGGAAGATATGGAAGGACAAAACTCGTCCCTTAGCGACATCATGCCAGACACTCAAGCAACAGTCTGTAACATCAAAACGATTTGCTTGATTTGCTTCAGATAGGAGGAAGAAGGGTGGCGATGAAGAGAAAGAGAGCGTCAAGGCATTGCGCCAAGAGAAAAAGCTGCTCGAAGGTTGAAAAAGTCCAAAAAGCAAAGTTTTCAAGTGCTTGCTGGCAAGGCGCTGGCCTTTCCAAAACTGAATGCTCACTACATCTTGTCCATTGCAATGGAGTGATTGAAAAGCCGCAAGCTCCCTCACCACTGCCACATCCACGCGGTCAATGATTGATGCAAGCCTGTCAAGGTCTAGCTTAGTTTTAGCCACATTGGGGCATTCCTTCACTATATTGCTCCTGAACTGCTTGAGCCCCTTGCCATTGAAGAGCGAATGGCAATCCAATAGCAGCATCATGGACAGAGTGACATAGCTAAAGGGCGTCGTAAAGTCAGTTGTCAGCAGGCTGCCAAGCCAGAATACGCCGCGCCCTCAAGTGACGTTTTCGCCGACAGCTTGATAGGCAGTGACTTCGACAAAGACAAGAGCCAAGGAGGAACGCATTTGGCGGAGAAGCCTGACGCTGATGCCAGCATGGCAAACAATGTTTGACAAATCATACTCATTGATAGCGATGCCAACAAATGCAAAATCCCATATGCGACATGCAGCAATGGAATCTCAACAGAAAACATAGCTAGTTCGTGTCCAAACCACCACCCACCAAATCCATGTTTCACTTGTGAAATTTTGATGGCTTGCAAATTCTCCAAGTGAAAGCTGAGAAGCAGTACAGCATCATGCAGTGCACGCTTGCGCATCGCTGGTGGCCCTTCACATAGCCATGTGAGAATGGCTGATCACCTCCCTGGTTCTCCAAGAGGAACACGCGTATGGTTGCATCTTCTTGCCAAGAGCCCACCTGCATTTTGATGTCAATATGATGAAGATGATGAAGGGACATGAACTTTTGCGATGGCTGCTCACTCTCAACATGTTAAATGCATGAAGTTCTGAAAGCCCAGATAGGCCCCAAACAGATCAACTATTGAGCCTATAGGGACAAGGGGAAAGGAAGCAGGGATAAAGTGAAAACAAAAGAGATGGAAGACAGACAGCAGCAGCGAGGTGGCAGCACAGCACCAATCCACGAGGGGAAAAGGGCACAACGACCCCTGCGAAACCTATTTTCCAGCTCTTGCGATCACAATGACAATGCCTCACCCTATGTCTACCAGCAGCGGTCATCCATGGAACTTTGACAACTACAGCCAGGCCTGATGCTATAACCACATTTAAGCATCAGAATATTTATCGCATTGATGTATATATTTCCACTAGTAGGTCCTGCAGCTCAGTATGAACAACATTGCTTGTTAGTCAAAATTTAACAAGTCATGACGTCGCAATGGCCATTGCGGGTCAACTGTCTGCTCATTATCCAAGTTCAACTGTCTTCGCATTTCCAACACGGCGGTTGGACCATCCAATCTGGCGCCTGCGCAGCAACGTTGATTGGTCTGACCCCCATTGCGGGGTGGACAGCAATGACTGGAACGGAGACATGTCTTGTATTTCTTTTTGGAAACAATGTGACTCCGACAAGTCCTCGAAGCGGCTGGCGTCGATCTTGATACAACTTCTCTAGAAATTCGATACCAGCCACTCGGGTGCGCCTCAATGGTGAGCCACGTTGTCTGAGATCTCCCAAACCTCTGCACCACCTTTCAGGACCCTATCCAGTACCTCCCCAAAACTTTCAGGCATCTGTCGAAAGCACCTTGTATCGCACTTTGTCCAAGTCACGCGGGTAAGAAATGACAAGCCGCTACGCCGCAGGCCGAGAACAGATAAGCGAGGAGCTCCTACACTTGGTGGGTGCATGACATGGATCACAAACAGGTTTTCAAGTTGGATGCATATGCACAAACCACCGAATCACATGTGTCCTGACGATGGCAATCTGTCAGGAAGTTCATATTCAACGATTCCGGCTCCAAAGAATTGAGGATTGCCACAAGATCACAGTCCTGGGGTGGCTACTGGTGTTCAACGAGCAAGGCAGCAAGTGTGATGGGTCTTTTGGCCAACGCAAGCTTGGGTAAACAAGCACCTGTTTCAAAAGGCACGATTTGATGTTGCGACTGCTTATGATTTTGGCAATGATCTCCCCTTTGGGCAAAGTCTCCGCTAGGTCACCAATCATCAGCTTGGGATCAGCTGCCATGGTAGCTGCTGTGGCCAATACTTAAGCTCCATGCTTCAGCACATTGCGGTGCATTGTGCCAGTTGCATCAAGCGGCCCGATTCTTTCACAATATGTTCTATTCTTTGCTACGATGCAAACGCTGGCTCTGACAACCTCTTGCTCACACCTTCTCGGGGTAACATGTGAATATATTGTCTATAGTCTAAACTTTTCTTTTCTCAATGTTCAACAATCACTTCGCCATGGAATGCAACTGATATGCTTGAAAGTGAAGCCCCTGTCTTGAATTCTGAATTCTGCATCAGGGGTTTGGAGGGCAGTTTTTTTTGCACCTCTAGCCGAGATATTTGAAGCAATTTCCTTGTGCTCGTTTTGAAGGTGTAGGTTAAAGGAAAATCATTTATATACTGTTGCTGGGCGGGTGGATCGAAAGTATAACAGTATAATAGTAATACCAAATACCATGGTATATCCCCGGAGTTAATAGATGTTAATAGTATATCCTCACATGTTTTTTTCACCATTTTTACAGGTATGATTACGATTCCCAGTCATGGGTGGAAACAAATGCATTGTTTTACCCGCATTGATCACATTAATTAAACCCATCCATGGGTTTACTATGGTGTTGTCCCTACCATGGTTTATTATAATCCCCATTAAACCATATTATATAAACCAGATAGATCAGATCCTCATAATAACCTATCAACTATGGCACTATGGTATTTTTCCATGGCTTTTCCCATGGTTTTTGGCACCCGCGAATCCCATCTCCACCGTCTCCGGAGGTCTCCGGTCTCCTCCCCGGAGAAGCCCAGCGCCGCACGCAGCAGGAAGGCGCTGGTCTTCGGACGACTGGCGAAGGCCCGACGCACGCGGCACACCGCCGCGCGGAGCTCAGCGCCTATGGGGGAACTTCGGGGGATGAAGGGAAAATCACAGTTATGGCCATTTACCAGTTATAACTGGTTATAAATGGGATTATACATTCTATAAATGGGGTTATAAGTACTTATAACTGATAAATGACCATAACTGCATGGAACATCTGTAGGAAACCGTGGGTTTTCTATGGGAAATCATGGGTTTTCTATGGTTTTTTTTCCCATTAAGACTAATGGTTTCCTGCACATTTTTCAACTTGAAACCAACCCAACGAATTTTCACCCAGGAAATCTCAGCAATTTTCTGGATAGGGATTTCAAGCAATTTTCTGGATGGGGCTTCACTAACAAGAATGGCTATTTAGCCAACAGTTTCAACCATGACGTGGAGTGAGTTATGGATTGAAAAGGGTCAAGTTGGTAGTGTCAAGCAATACGTATATAGAGGGTTAGCATTAAATAAACTGTACGTCCGAAGTAGTAAGTTAAGTATTTGGGGTTAAATTTTCTACGTATTGCACCTCGATACTAATCAAATTTGAGACAAAGAAGAGCTTGGTACGAATTGAAAAGTAGCCAAGTTCATTTATTCAATGGGTTTGTCTGAAATAGGGTACCCCACGCCATCCACTAGCCCATCACAATTTTCCCTATTAAAACTGCCATTTAGATCCGTTTCGGGGGTATACCGCATTTTCAAACACGCCCTAATGAAATGGTGTTGGCTATATATCCAGTTCTATTCCCACTCAGATCCCATTAAATCTCCACTTTTCATGGTTAAATATCGTGTTGAATCTGGTTACATCATCTTAAATGCGGTAAAATTACCAAATGCAAATTTATTGGGGAGGATTTTCATGGTAAAAGTGTCCAATCTGAGATTTCTCAGAGTTGACCCATGGACTCACTGGTGGCAGCCAATTTCGTATAGAACAACGGAGATGCGTGTGTCCGGAAAGGCTACCCTCCAGTAAAACACACAAAAAACTATGGAACATCACCATTTTTTACCGGGTAAATCATCTTTAAATGGCAATGCTCAATAGCTATAGCAAATCCCCGGAGAGTATCCATCAATTTCATGCGGTTTTGATTGGAAAGTGAGGTTTGAAAGCATTGGATTTGGGGTTATTGGACAAACCCAAATGATTCCAAATGGGAATGGCTCCAAAAAGGGGTCACAGTATCCAACTCCGGCATAGTACAAGAAGTAGTTGTTGAACCAAGTACATTTCGATATGAACCAAAACGGCAGAGGATATTATATATATAATATATATATATTATATATATATTATATATATAATATATATATACATATACATGGTCAAATAGATGTGACCAACAGAACTGGGCATTTCAGCAAAGATGTTTAACAACTCGTAGGTTCTAATCCACTAATCCACTTGATGATCTCATCGGTTCATCCCAGGTGCATTCCCCGAAGCCAAATCCCATGGATTTCCAATGACGTCACAGTGAGGTGATTATAACTTATCCAGAACATGTGGATAGCCTCCAGTCTAGTGGATTACTTAAACATAGAGCATATATCATATTATATCATCATATATCTCATGTTTTCTACACATTTTCTTTCCTCTAGTAATCTTCTCCAGAAGCGAAGCGCGCTTGTCTCCCGGCGTTTCGGATGGCCAGGGCACAGGTGTTGATTTGCAAAATGGTCGAGATCTGATGCTCAAGGACCTGTAAAGACTGAACGGATCAGTTGATCAGTTCATTTGGGTCTGGGTCAACATCTCTGAATATAGATGGTTGGTGGTACAATAACCATCTTGAAACATATGACTTCGTCAATGGGAAAGGTGACATCCCTAATATATCCTAATATATTATGAAAAATAAAAGCCATGTTTGAAACCACCAACCAGATATGGATGGTTTAAAAAAAATGTCGACCAAAGATAGAGGTAGACTTGAGTTTGTGGGTCCTTAAAAGAAACGACCTGCTTGAGGTCCCATAGTTGGGACCCACCTCCTGCAGATCGATGTCCACCTCACCCCCCGGTCGGAGGCACCTTCCCGCAGCCGGGCAGTTTGCGCACGGGCAACTTGTCCATATACTCCAGCACCGCCTGCCGGCGAAAAAATGGGGGGTCCACAGAATTGAAAAACCACCAGAGTTGGACCACAGATGTTCAGCACTAAAGATCGACTCCGAGATTCAAACGGCAACGGACTGACATGGGATACGGAGATGATTATGACTGTTACATCATCTAAAAAAAACATTAAAATATGATCATTACTATGTAATATATTAACATCCCAAAAAATCGTACATTTCCCATATCGTATGGTACGTATGTATATATATATATATTCCCACTACACTATACAACTTGAAAATAGTCCTGGATGTCTCACTGTTGAGATCCACCATCAGGCCGCTGAGAGGGTACATTGGTCCATGCTTCCAGGTTTCATCCCCTGTTGGATTTTCTTGGATTTCTTGGGCGTTCTTGGACTTTCCCAGTTTCAAATCACCTTCAAGATATGAACATTTATGATATATTTATTCATGGATATTCATAGATTTCCCATATATTTATGATATCTCCCATATATTTCCCATATAGCATATGGATTCTCATGTGATTTTTCTTCGGTCCCTTAAGCTTCCCTTAAGCTTCCCAAAAAACTCGCTCTCCACCTCTCGGCTGGGCTGAATCCGGGTCTGTCCATCCGGTTTCTTCTCATCTGATGCAATCTTGGCCACCATTCCTCAGCGAACTCGGGAAATCTGATGGGAAAACTCTGCATCTTAAGGCCATCGTTTCAAACTCCAAGTCGAGATTTTCGCCACATTTTCCCATTTAACAAAAACTATATATAGAAAATTGGAAAACTCTGGAACACTTCCATTGATTTTCCATATTTTCCCTATGGAAAACTATGGAAAACTTCCCCCGAGCACCTTTTGAAGCACGGCACTGTTGGGGCCAATCCCTGCCGAACACGTGAGGCCTGTGGACTCCTTGACCTGGCGGTCAAAATTCACGTGACTGTTTTTACATGGTCTAACATGGTTTAACCAGCAAAATATAGCAAAATATATATTATATATATATACAATCTACACATGATTCTTTACAGATTCTATATGTGCATTTGGGATCTTTTTTTTGTGTCTGTATTTGGTTTTAAAATTATCAAACACATGGGATTGGACCCAGCATCGTAGTGACATCATACGTGATCCGGATGATATCACCAACCAAAACAAAAATGTTTACCAACTATGGTGATGTCAAGGAATATCGAAAAACATTAGTGTCTCCATCTTGGTTTGTCAATGGGGAAATTTCAATTCACGGCCATCGAAATATCGAAAAAACATGAACAAATACCCTCCGGTAATTTAACATAGCTATTGAAAGTTGCCATTTATAGTGAGTTTTCCCATGAAAAATTGTGATTTTCCATAGTTATGTAAACGTTTACCGGAGGGTATGAGCAAATGATGCTGGAAACCATTGGAGTTTGGCTTACGCAGCCTTTCATCCTGACCATGGTCCATTAAGGATCATTGTCCAATAAAAAACCTCGACAACTTGCCCATCATGGGATTGGTTTAAGGGAAAATATGGGCAAATCCATAGGATTTTAGCCCAAAAAATGATGCAAAAAATCTAATTTCCATGGAATCTAAAGGGACCCCGGGACCCCATTGGGATCTATACTATTCCCATGATCTTCCCATGTTATTTGGGGTTTCATGGGGGTCCCTAAAAATTGCACTTCCAATGTTTGAAGACTACTCTCCAGTTTCAGAAGCTGTCATAACTATAGAAAATCCACCATAGTTTTTAGTTCGATGATTTCCTATGATTTCCTTCTTCCGTGCTGTAAAGCTATCCATTTCTTGGGCATAGAATACCAGGATAGCTATAGAAACATCCACCGGCATCCCAATCATCCCATCAGTCATCATCCCATCAGTCGTAAATCGGAAACCTTTTCTGACCTTTTTGTTGCGATCATATGGCGATAATATGGGGATAACATGGCGATAATATGGGGATAATATGGCGATAACATGGGGATAATATGGGATATTTCACTAGCCAAAATAGTTCTGCTATATTGGGATAATATGGGATTAATATTCCTCTATACGTTCAGCATCATTCCAGGGTTCGGTCGCAGTGAGGCCGTTATAATTTACCCATCATTCACTCTGATACCCTCCAGTAAATTAACATAGACCCTGAACAATCATCAATTTCCTGTGGAAACTCATTTTGCAACCCCTATCTGGCAAGGTCGAACTGTTAATTTGGAGGATAATGACCCATTCAGATACCTAAAACCGTAGATATACCTTACATAGGCCGTACAATAGACTTCAAAAAAAATGCTAGGTAGCTTCAATTTTTATTGGTACCTGAAATGTTCATTGAGGGTAATAAACCCAATAGCTGGTAACACATGTTAATAACCCCTAATCATATCTAATCAGTACATCTAATGTTAGTTGAAGGTAGTAGTTATTATCTTTTCAGCTAACATCTGATAGATAATCTATCTTATCATAGTTACCATATCAATCTCATGTACTAGATGAATTACTCCCCCTCCTTTTACCGTAGTGCAAAAAAATATATATTATTTTTTTTCTTCCACGTTAACTAAAGTGACAATTCGGAGGTTTACTTCCATGTTAGTTGCAATGGGGGGGGTAAACTGCAAATTTGTGTTCTTCGGATCTGAACCTTTTTTTTTTGGCTAGTTCTTTTTGCCACGAGTTCCCCGGGAATCCTGGGCATTTGTTGATTAACGTAGAAATTTTGATTTCTTCAAGATAAAGCTGGGAATGCCTCCATTTTTTAACAACCGACGATTGGGGCGGGTGGCTTGCATAGAAATTTGCTGCTTGGAGTAGGATGTGGGCAGTGCCATGTTAGCGAGCGCTCGGTCCTCCTTTTACCGTAGTGCAAAAAAAAATCTTCCACGTTAACTAAAGTGACACTGCGGAGGTTTACTTCCATGTTAGTTGCAATGGGGGGGGGTAAACTGCAAATTTGTGTTCTTTGGATCTGAGCCTTTTTTTTTGGCTAGTTCTTTTTGCCACGAGTTCCCCGGGAATCCTGGGCATTTGTTGATTAACGTAGAAATTTTGATTTGTTCAAGATAAAGCTGGGAATGCCTCCATTTTTTAACAACCAACGATTGGAACGGATAACTTGCATAGAAATTTGCTACTTGAAGTAGGATGTGGGCAGTGCCATGTTAGCGAGCGCTCGGTCCTCCTTTTACCGCAGTGCAAAAAAAAAATCTTCCACGTTAACTAAAGTGACAATTCGGAGGTTTACTTCCATGTTAGTTGCAATGGGGGGGGGTAAACTGCAAATTTGTGTTCTTTGGATCTGAACCCTTTTTTTTTGGCTAGTTCTTTTTGCCACGAGTTCCCCTGGAATCCTGGGCATTTGTTGATTAACGTAGAAATTTTGATTTTTTCAAGATAAAGCTGGGAATGCCTCCATTTTTTAACAACCAACGATTGGAACGGATAACTTACATAGAAATTTGCTACTTGAAGTAGGATGTGGGCAGTGCCATGTTAGCGAGCACCAATTTTGCACCATTGATTTCGAAAGGTTGCATCCTCAATCGCTCGGACATGACAGGGGTGAGAAGATAGATGCAAAGAAGAAAAAAATGTTGTGGCGGCCAGTCTGGGGGTTTTAGGGATCGCCCTAGAAGGATGTATTCAACACGAGGGGAGAACATGTTAACATAGAAGTTGCCAACCTGATGTCTGGACCCTCAAGTTACTTCCACGTAAGGGTTTTTAGTCTCAGTTTTCACACTTCCATGATGAATATGTTGCTGACATATCTGATGAGCTACTTCCATGTAAGAGATTCACGGTCAGTTTTTCTGCATTTGCTGGCCCGGTAGCCCAGTTTCATTTTTTCCCCAGGAATTGGACGTAAACGACTTCCATGTAAACCGACAGGTTTTTCCATCCTGACTTCCACGGTAAAAGGACCCGGTGTAATTGTTCAGCTTATTGAATGCTAGCTGATCTAATCTGGTTGGTGGTTTCAACCCCTCTGAAAAATATTAAAGTCAGTTGGGATGATGACATTCCAAAAAACATGGAAAATCAAAAAAATCGTGTTCCAAACCACCAACCAGTAATTGATCATCGCAGCTGTGAAACACAACGCGTCTCGCGACACCAGCGGGCCTTCTTCCGCATCTCCTGCACCACTTCTTCCGCATCCCGCCCTGAGCTCCCCAAGAAGTCCGTCAGATCCTCAACGAAATTTCTGACGCACCAAAATGGCAGAACGCGGTTGACGTGTTTCTGGTGTTGAAAATCACTGGTTGAAGTGCTTTAGGCAGAGAATTGGAACACATTTTGGATTCAAGCACTAAACACAGGGTTGAAATGGTTTGAAATTTAACTTCTTTAACGAGCAACAATTTGGGAGGTTGACTCATACAAATAGTGCATTTGCCCATCCCTGGAAGGATCCAAAATCCAGCCCAGCATCCAAATAGGCTTCATCCAATGTGTAGGCTTGGAAGTTGGGATCGTATTCACCTTGGGGAGGCTTTTTAAAATGAGGTCAACAATCCCTGATATTTTTGGGTGAATGAGGAGATATAGACTGTAACCGTTGTGAGAGTTTTTGTGGTATGTCAGTTGAAAGATTTCAAAAGCCTTGTGGAGGATCTGACTTTCTAATCTAATTGTATATACTTGCATGGCTATGTCTGAAAATATATGCTACCCCAACAAAAATGATGGTGGAGCATCGCTTTCCGCATTCAGGTTAACATGCCATAAAGCTTGTGTAAGTGTTCAAAAAAATCAGATATTCAGACGCACTCCTATGGATGTTTTCCTAAAATAGGGCTACCCTGTACCATCATCCATGGTATTTTGTGGGATTTTCCATCATAAACCATCCAGCTACTGGGGTAACCACATGACTATGGAAGCAACATCTTAGATCTCCGGCGACCCTACTGATTCAACCTCCTCCCGATGTGGAACATCGGGAGGTTTGCCGATGTTCCAAGCATTTCATAACGGGATATGGTTATGCCCCAGGTACCCTAAAATAGTTGCTGAATGGATGGTTATTCCCCAAAAATATGGTAATAATGGGTTTTGACCCATCCTCATGTGTTTTTGGATATCATGGGCATATTCTTCGGGATATCATGGGGATATTCTTGGGGATATGTGAACACCGATGTGATATGCGGACTGGCTTGTTTGCAGGATTGGGTATACTCCAAGCCACGAAATGGGGCACTGGATTTTAGGGTAACCTGTTTTGGACAAACCAACATGAACAAATTACGATCCCCAAAATGGTAATTATTTTGTTAAAAAACAAAATCATCTTCCAACACCAGTTGTTGGGGGTCTATGTAATTCTTCAGGAATGACATTACCCTCTGGTAAACTAACATAGCTATTGAGCATGGCTATTTATAGTGGATTTACCCATTGAAAATGGTGGTTTTCCATAGTTTTTTGTATTGTTGGTGAAACCATCCCAGTTTGGACGATCTTCTTTTCAGCCCAAAGATCCCTTAGGTTGGTTTCCAGCAGAATTCAGCCAACGAATCCCACATGTTCAATGTTTGAATCCATATGTTTCATCCTTAAAATCATGATTTAAGATGACGGTGAGTAAACTCAACCAAGTCTTCTTGGTCAATCAAAGGTTCATTAAATCGTAATGATCAACTTCTTTCATCAACTTCCTGCTTTTAGTAAAACTCCATGTTTCTGGGTAAATGATCATAATTCACTAACCTGACAAGTTCGGTTTTATTGGGAGAATTACCTTATACATTCACCATTCTTCCAGGGTGTCAGGACGTGAGGCCACTATCATGTACCCACTCGCTGGTAATTTCTTACAGTTTGCGAACTGGAAAATGGCCATTGTTTATAGTCTATAGTTGATTGACCTATATCAAAGATGCTGGATCTTTCCTCGCAAACTGTAACAAATTACCCATATTAGTCCCATATTAGTCCCATAGTCCCACTAGAATGTACCCATATGGCCCATCCACGGGGACTTTATGGTCCCATAATGTACCCACGTCACGGAAGATCTCCCGAGTTTGCATCGCCACCTTTTTTTTGGGGGTTGGGGAACATCCGACCAAAAGGGGTAAGACATATATTGCTACTGGAAGACAATGGATGTAAGAAATATGGTAATATTACATATATATGGTGTCAAATATGGATGTAACATATCTTAAGATATATGTATATATATATATGTGTAAATATATATATATATATGATGATATATGGTGTTACGAACATGACCCCATCTTATTGCACTTCTTGCAGGGTAAATGGTGTGTAAAAACACATGACATGACATGAAATAACGTGACATGAAGCATAGCATAAGATAACATAACGATACGGTATACGTTACAGTAGATTTTTAGTACATTACATACCTGCATATTATATAATGTTTGCGTCTGATTAATGTGAGGGGCCCCCCCCTAAACAATTTGAGGATACTCTATAACTCGCACTTTTTTTTGCCCTCCCTCAACATTTTTTTGGTCAATCAACTTAAGAAAGGATTTCAATTTACTTTCAATTGATTTCAATTTACTTTCAATTGATTTCAATTTACTTTTAATTTATATACTTTTAATTTACTTTCAATTGATTTCATTTTACTTTTAATTTACTTTCAATTGATTTCAATTTACTTTCAATTGATTTCAATTTACTTTTAATTTACTTTCAATTTACTTTCAATTGATTTCAATTTATTTTTAATTGATTTCAATTTACTTTTAATTTACTTTTATTTTTTTTCACTCCCAAAAGTTGGTGCTCACAATAGAGTACCATCCAAACAATTATATTATTGAGTAACTGAGCCAATCATGAGGTATCCCCTTGAAAAATTGTCTGGGTGCTGTTTTTTAATAAGGGTTTAATAAGGCATCTAATTATTTGGAAAACCTTGCATTTTAAAGCTTTAACACAAATATGGCTTTCTAAAGTAAAGGCATCAGCTTTACCCAAAGAAAGGTGGAGAAAGGGTTTTTTTTTTTTCACTCCCAAAAGTTGGTGCTCACAATAGAGTACCATCCAAACAATTATATTATTGAGTAACTGAGCCAATCATGAGGTATCCCCTTGAAAAATTGTCTGGGTGCTGTTTTTTAATAAGGGTTTAATAAGGCATCTAATTATTTGGAAAACCTTGCATTTTAAAGCTTTAACACAAATATGGCTTTCTAAAGTAAAGGCACCAGCTTTACCCAAAGAAAGGTGGAGAAAGGGTTTTGCTTTTTTTTTCACTCCCAAAAGTTGGTGCTCACAATAGAGTACCATCCAAACAATTATATTATTGAGTAACTGAGCCAATTATGGTTTTTTCAGGTATCTAATTATTTGGAAAACCTTGCATTTTAAAGTTTTAACACAAATATGGCTTTCTAAAGTAAAGGCACCAGCTTTACCCAAAGAAAGGTGGAGAAAGGGTTTTGCTTTTTTTTTCACTCCCAAAAGTTGGTGCTCACAATAGAGTACCATCCAAACAATTATATTATTGAGTAACTGAGCCAATCATGAGGTATCCCCTTGAAAAATTGTCTGGGTGCTGTTTTTTAATAAGGGTTTAATAAGGCATCTAATTATTTGGAAAACCTTGCATTTTAAAGCTTTAACACAAATATGGCTTTCTAAAGTAAAGGCACCAGCTTTACCCAAAGAAAGGTGGAGAAAGGGTTTTGTTTTTTTTTCACTCCCAAAAGTTGGTGCTCACAATAGAGTACCATCCAGACAATTATATTATTGAGTAACTGAGCCACTCATGAGGTACCCCCTTGAAAAATTGTCTGAGTGCTGTTTTTTTGAATAAGTATTTGGAAACAATAATTTAAAGTATTTGGAAAATATTTTTAAACACAAACCAAAAAATAATTGAAAAAATAAAAATAAATTTAAGTAATTATTTGGAAAAAATGAAAAAAATCTGGGAAAAAATCTCACAATAGAGTTCCCCCCCAACAATTAGCATGTGACTGAATAAGGGGCAAGAAATTTCTCACAATAGGGTACCATCTCTTTAATCATTCCCAAACATTATTAGAGATACAGATATGTGTTATTCATGCATATCCGCATGTATAATCCCCATTTTAGAACTATGCCCCGTTCTTAGCTGGCGCCCATTTATAGTCATTTATAGCAAAAACATACATTCTAAACTATTGAAGATTGACCTGCTAAACACAGCATGCATTTTTGCTAGTTCAGTTCTCTTTTTTGCTGGTCATGTCAATTTCTGCTTCTCACACTCCCTATGTTGGTCAAGTATGTCTTCTCTGATCTTTTAATATCTTTTACATTTCACCAATGAAATGCTTCTCTGCTAGCTGAGCAATCTTCATGGGCAATTTTCAAAAATACAACTAATCTTGGAAAATGCGCAAGTTCAGTTTTGGTGGGATATTCTGACATTCCAATCATATCAATATAAAAAAACCGTTCGACCACTAACCTATTCACCAACCTTTCACCATTAGTGTGCAGCTAAACATAGGAACCAACTATTGTTGGTGACATCTTGCTTTAGGCCCACTTAAAACCAATCATAGACCAACAGTCACCGGTTTCAACCCTCTTTGCATGCCGGTTCAAGACCATATGTTTTGGCCCATGTTAAAACCATCGTCTTTTGTTCCTTCAACATTATGTTTATCCATTCCCATTCTTCCCTGGTTGGTGGTTTCAATCCATCTGAAAAATATTAGTCAATGGGATGGATTATCCCATATATTATGGTACTGCTCGCTGTATTTCACGGCAAGGTGGGCCGTGGCATGCGACAAAATGATCAGGCTGGAGTCGGTCAGTAGGTCCACCCTTTTCAGGGCAAAGGTGGTTCCCGGTTTCTTCCTCTCCAACAAGCTGATGAAGCCATTCTGATAGGCTTTCTGCGGATCACAGACATCCACCTGAGACAGATGAAACTTTTTGCGCTGGACCACGTGTGCTTCTTGTCGTTTCTGCTGGCGTTCCAAGCGCGTGCCGTAGATGTTGCCACCATATGACGCACTTTTAACCCAACGTACGGACTTGCAAACGATATTTCTCACACACCGCCTGAAGGGTAAGATCTTCGTGTGATCCCCACCATGACATTTATCGATTTGTTACTGGCAAATCTTCTGGCATTGTATCTGACATATCTTCTGGCATTCGATCTGGCATTCTATCTGGCATATCTTCTGGCATTCTACCTGGCATATCTTCTGGCATATGTTCTGGCATTCTATCTGGCATATCTTCTGGCATATCTTCTGACATCCTATCTGGCATTCTATCTGGCAAATCTTCTGGCATTCTATCTGGCAAACATTCTGGCACTTTATCTGGCATACCTTCTGGCATTCTATCTGACATTCTATCTGGCATACCTTCTGGCATTCTATCTGGCATATTTTCTGGCATATGTTCTGGCATATCTTCTGGCATTCTATCTGGCATATCTTCTGGCATATCTTCTGGCATTCTACCTGGCATATCTTCTGGCATATGTTCTGGCATACCTTCTGGCATTCTATCTGGCATATCTTCTGGCATATCTTCTGACATCCTATCTGGCATTCTATCTGGCATATCTTCTGGCATTCTATCTGGCAAACATTCTGGCACTTTATCTGGCATACCATCTAGCATTTCATCTGGCATATCTTCTGGCATTCTATCTGACATGCTATCTGGCGTTCTATCTGGCATATCTTCTGGCATTCTATCTGGCTCGGAAGCTCGGAAGGTCCCAGGTTGAGGTCCAGCGGTGCTCACTGCGCTCGGCGGGTCCCAGGTTGAGGTCCAGCGGTGCTCACTGAGCTCGGAGGGTCCCAGGTTGAGGTCCAGCGGTGCTCACTCAACTCGGCAGGTCCCAGGTTGAGGTCCAGCGGTGCCCAGTGCGCTCAGACCCTTGCAGTTGAGGTCCAGCAGTGGCCACTGCATGCGGAAGTTGGCGAAGAGCTTGGCGAAGAGTTGGCAAGGCGGAAGTGGACATGGAAGTGAAGGCAGAGGTGGTGGAGGAGAACGAGGAGGAGGAGAAGGAGGAGGAGGAGAAGGAGAAGAACAACTCTGATAAAATCTAACAACCCTCACCTGGCAGGTGGGGAATAAAAAATGTTTGAAACCACCAACCAGTTCCTGAATCATGTGCTCCTTTTCAACGGAATTCAACTTCACTGAATCCCCACTGAACAAATGGAAACTTTCAATCCCCGTTGGGTTCCAACCTCAGTTTGGTGATCAACTATAAAAAACATCCTCTGACCCGAAAACAACCATGGCCCTTGTTACTAATAATCTAATAGTTGAATCCCAAATGATGATAAAACATGATAAAACCACCATTTCCATATTTCCGATGATTATATACGCCATTCATTGAGGTTGATTGAACTTCCTTGTTATTTCACCCTCAATTATAGATGGTTCACAAACCCCTATCAAGCCAGTAATAAACCCTGCTCATCATCAGTTTCCTTCCACAATTCAATTTTTTAATTCCAAAATACCACTAATTCAATTGATTATACTTGATTCTACTTCGACTTACAGTCATTATACCCTCTCTTTTTCTAGAGTTGCTATATCCTATTCCCCCCACCAAAAAACACATCATAAAACCCCCATCTTCCACCCCCCCAGCCTTGGTATACTTCGCAAAGTTGGGCGCCACGAAAATCAACTCCTCCGGTGGCATCTTGGAGCCCACGAGCTGCGGATTCTTCACCATCTCCACCGCGATGAAGCCCGGCATGGCCGAGCGCACGCCGTACCTACGCACGGAGCGTAGCGCTGGCGGGGTGCCGGTACACGTGGCGTCACCCTTAAGGGGAACATACGAAAAATGGTGGGCCCGTGGCGATGAAATCTACCACTTCAAAATCAACATATTGAAGGGTGATATATGAGTCATAATATGTTTGAAGCCGCTTAATTAATTATGTTGCAAATGAGCAGTGGAACTAAAATAACCATGTTGCAAGATCGCCTAAGTGATACTTTTCATCAGAATGTCCATACATGTATATATATATATATATATGATTATCTATGGTGAATAATATGGATAATCATATTACCATACTATAATGCCCATAAAATCCCATTATTTAATCATAATTTAACCAAGATATCGGTTAACTCCGGAACACATCAATTGCAGGATCCAGGGACTTGGGAAAACGGGGGTACTTGGGTGCCATGGCGGGTAACAAAAAACAAAAAGCCGGGCAAAGCATCAAACCAAGCATTGAATAGTAGAATATATTAGAATATGGAATATAATATAGAATATCTTATGGAATATAATATATAATCAAACAACATATGATCTGGATAGGTTCAATCATGCGCAACAGAGATACCACAAACTTGCCATTTACATCCACTAACAATAGGAGCAGTGGTGATAGTCTGTTGACATTGGGTGTATCCTGTTTTCAGGCAAACCCGTTTTCAACATGATATCGATTGATATCGAAAGTTTTTTTGGTCATGTGCACAATGTGTTCCGCGTTTTAATTCGCAAATATGAAGCTTTAACTTGAATAGCGCCAATTCAGGGACTTGCACGATTTATTCATGTTGCCTGCCACGCGGGCAACAATTATCCAGCTTCAGCTTGGTGAAAATATGTAAAATCCATGTTGGCACTACTGTTGTTTTTCTTCTTGTTGTTGTTGTTGTTGGTTGTTGGTTGTTGTTATTGTTGTTATTGTTGTTATTGCTGTTGTTATTGTTATTATTATTATTGTTGTTATTGTTGTTGTTATTGTTGTTGTTGTTGCTGCCTTGTTCGTTACATCTTGGTTGCCACCATGTTGGATCGGGTTGCTGCTAGGTTGCTTTAAGGTCAATCCGAGCAAGTTGCTATAATTCACACATCTGTGCCATTTAAGTGGACATTTATGTACATAATACATTTATACAGGATACGTCCTTGTATATACATAGTATATATATATGCATATTCTATTGAGCTCTATTTTATATGCTATATGTGAAATTCTATTATCATACGCTAATAACCATCATTTTTGGGCTTTGATCGGATGTGAGGTCGCCACCTTACTTTGTTTCAGATAAGCTACAAGCGGGCCACGTAGTTCGCAGTACCTCGTCTCGTTGTGAACCGGCCGTTGAAGACTCTGTGTGGGTCATGGTAGTGGAAATATATAATAAAGTCGATACATAATTACATATGTATATGTATATATATACACACATATTGGGTATTGGTCATAAGCATGGTACCCAGGTGGAACCCAAACTCTTCAGGTTTTGATCCATCACTCTGCAATTCCCATCACCTGTTCGTACACTACCAACAAAGATCAGGTCTCCTTAAATCTCCCCAGGACCGGAGCCTCTTTAATACTCTACGAAAAGACTTCCACCGAAACATTTCGCAAACTTCCACCGTTCGCGAAGTTCGCATCGGCGCCTGCCGCCAAGACACAAATCATGCCTAAGCCGCCCACAGCCACCGGCTTGTTGGCCAGTTCCGGTTGGTCTCGGATCTCAACCTCGACAGCTCGACAGCATCTGAGATGATCAAGGGCCCCTTGTGAAGCAAACAACTAATAATATCTAATAATTATAGTAGTTCATGGGATGATTATGATTATGATATGTGATAATGGTTGAAGTTAATCGTAAATAGGATTATGATTTTGATAGTGGTTTCAGTGAGATAATTACAGCTACACTATGGGATAATTATGGTTTATTTGTGGAAAAGTATGAGATACGCATGGTAAAACCGTAAAACCATCCACAATGGGGTTTGTTCTTGGGTATACCCCTATGTGGCACTATGTAGAATGACCCCAAAATGGTTGCTTACTGGGATAACGATTCTAGACTGTCTATTAAGATATCTGATATCTCAAACAATAACATCTAACATGTAGAATGTTCATGACATATACATCATACTACATATTTATACATAATATATATATATATATACATACAGTATGTACACATATCATGGCTTATGTATATAAGCAATAAATATATATCATATATATAATATACACTATTCTATCTACATATTCTGAGACCACCCAGTCTGAAGGTCCTCTTCACCTCCTGCTGGCCTAAACTGGGCGACCCGCTTTTTCTGTGGATCCGCACGGCGGCATAAAACATGTCCATATCCACCACGCAATGGGTCCGTGACAAATCCTGCGCTGGATTTGTAGAATTCTAGCGAGAGCTGGGTGAATAGCTGCATAATCATGTCATATAATGTCATATATATATAATAATGTATAGTAACTGTCAATAGCTGGGTCAATGGCTGGGTCGATAGCTGTATAATATTGTATAATAATATCTGTTCATGTCATTTCAGTTCCCCAACTCTAGATCAACTGGAGTTTCGTAAAAGTTGAAGGTAAGTAACCTACATCCACCTACCTAAATAAAGATGAACTCAAGCATTGGCAGCAATTCGTTGGCGGAAATGGAACTAATTTTGGTGAGACCGTTTCCGATACAACACACTGGGTGAAACCCATTGTGCCAGGAGTGGGAAATCACTTAGACTCAGAATCCACAATGCAGTTGGTCCTAGTCGCCTCCCCCGTCATTCCCTCCAGAAACACACCAAAAAGGATGCCACGCCACATGCGAATTGGGGGGAAGTGGTTCAGTTTGCTGGATCCTTTCTTTGGGGGGGTGTTATGTTCATCTGTATTAACTTATCTGCTGACGAACGTGGACTTGTCAGTTGCGTACCCCATTGTGGACATGATTACGAAATGATTACGAAGACTCCTGGTGGTGCTTCATACCATGCAGGAATCACAGGCAAACATATGATATGTTTCACATTCACGCGTAGGAACTGGAGAACCAAAAACAAGATAACAACTTTACCCTCTGGTAATTTAACATAACTATGGAAAATCACAATTTTTCATGGGAAAATCCACTATAAATGGCCATTTTCAATAGCTATGTTAAATTACCAGAGGGTACCCTCTGGGAATTTAACAATGGCCCAGTCGAAAGTTCGTTGATTTACCCATTCAAAATGATGGATCTTTCCATCGCTTTTTGTATGTTTACCAGGCCGGGTACCCCTATGACTTAGGAAACCCCCATCTCTCTGCAATTTTCAGGCCATGCCACACGATGTTTCTCGAGTTCTTCCATCTCTGCCTCCGCCCGCTTCTCTTCAGCTTGACCTTGGAAAAACATCCTTCCCCGCAACCTCGGAAAACCCATGGTTTCCCCAGGGTAGACATACACCAAAAAAAAACATGTGGAAAACCACTGAAAACCCATGGTTTCCTGTTTGGAAAATCTGGGGTATGGTCGAAGCCTTCATGTCTCAGATCTTTTAAAAGGTATCGGATGCCTCTATCCTAGTTGGGATCTATCGGTGCCACATGCTTCATGTGGCATTGCTTCGCGTCTGAAGACGTAGAACCAAGAATCACGAACAACTTCATTGGTATTTTTTGCATTTATCTACAGTTATCTACAGTTATCTATAATTACCTGCAATCTCCCCCCACTATGTGTTGAGGGAAAAACAAATACTGTTTAGTTGATTTTAGTTGTTAAATTGTGATAATTTGCCATTAGATGGTGCGGTAATGCCTTTAGTTGAGCAGTCCAGGTGTTCTTCATCAGGGGTTGACATGGCAAATCACCATCTGAATATAGCATATCCATGCATATCCCGATATAAAATCATATAAATCTAATATATATATGTGTATATAATATATATATATACCAGTATATATATATGCCGGTATATATATATATAATATCCAAATATATCCCATATGAATCACCACATAAATCCAGAAAAATCAGAGATCTCCACCCCCATGGTGAAGCCATCCCTCGCCCTCGAGCAACGGCACGTTCCGTGCAGGTCATGCGCTGCTCGAAGTCCGTCAGCTCCTTGGCGATGGCTTCGGCGCGCGCGTGCTGCTTGGCGTCCAAGTCCTTGAAACGAATCCAGGAAGGAATCAGACATGATCATCATCAATATATATATATTATACAAATGTATATACTTATATGTGATATTTATTATTTACAATATGATCATATATATATGTGATATGTTATACATATATATATATATATGTGTGTGTGATATTGGTTATTAACAATATGATTATCCTTTACACTATATTAGGGCATATTATAATATATGATATCTTGAACATTTATACTATAATATGTTATAATGACTTGTCTATGATAATAGACCAATATGATCATTCATGTTCATTTATAGAATATTGTTATTATTTGTTGGATATATCAAGTAGATTGTTGATGACATCAATGATATATCTAGTACCAATGATTATATATATATATATGTAAATGAATGTCTTAATAATAGACATTATTTACCAATCTAGTGATATATTATATATATATAATTCGTATCAGTTATTATCAATAATATATTCACACGATCATAAAATCACATTTATATATTGATGATGATTTTTGTTAAAAACAAACAAACAAACCTAATTTGTCATATCTACCAATAAAACATGTGATCATTCTAAACGACCTTAAATGATAGTAAAACAGTGATAGTAAAACCACATGATCATTTGCTTTCATTATTTGTTGGATATATCAAGTAGATTTGGAATCATGAAACCTATCTATACATGGATTATGGACTCATGGACTATCATTTATTGCCTATGTATTGGATTTGATTGCCTATGTATTGGATGTATCAAGTAGTCAATTATCTGGAATCATTTTTGAAAGGTGGTAACATTGAGGGTTTGGGCCAGCAAACAGGATTTCTCTAAGAACCCGGGAATACTACAGGAATAATTGCCGTTTACTGGGATGCCAAACTCAACGTAAAATGGAGACCTCCCCAAAGGAAAAAAAGTGGACGTGGTTGCTCCTAAAGAATTGATGGGCGATCGACAGCCAAAGGTGATATCACTAGTGAAAATTATCCAAAGGTGACCATGCGCCCAGGAGGATGGAACCTGAGAGTAGACGACTAAACACATCGCCCAGTACGACTCGAAAACCCGACTGGAAAACATTGTGGCAGCAAGCAGCAGAGGGGACATGAAAACTGAAAGGAGCGATCATAGAGTCACAGAGTATGCAAATGACACAATACTGCAGCTACCACGACCAAAACATAAAATACAAGAACCGTCAAAAACATGACATTATCATCAAGTGGGGCGGATGCAGTTCAAAACCAACACAGAACAGGTGTAGCACAAATGGATACACATGATTCTTATGCAGGACGCTGTCGGTGTGCGATCAATGAAACAGGATTTTCCACTCCTGTCCTACAATGTGGGCCCCCAAGATCGCTAAGTTGGTTTATAACTCCAATAACTATGGTTTATGGTATTTATAACTATAGTTACTGGGGCTTATAAATCAACGTATAACATCTTATAACTGGGGGGCCTCACATTGTAGGATGTACTTCCACCTTTTAAACATTGACATATCTTCTGTGCTCACCAAAAAAAACATTCTCTGATCATCCCCCGACCGTTGCCAAGGACCTGGACTGAATGCCATGGTGAAAAAACCCTTCCACCGGCTGCTGCTCAGGAACAATCTGGTGCTGCGTGTATTGTGAGTTCTTACCTTGGGTCGTGCTCACATCTTTTCGCTGGGGGATGAAAATTCTTAGGTCTGACTCACAGATAGATCATATAGGGTGCTTCCACTAAGGACGTCCAAGACAACCAAACATTCACAGGCACCAGCCACCAGCCCAACCAGCCGAATCCGACATCGGATGTCGATGATGTTCCGAAATTTTGTGAGTCGGAAGAACGGCCTGTTCATGGTCTTTACTTTTGACCAAGAATGGTGAATATCCACCAAAATTACCCCCAAGGTGCTCTATTCTAAGGGAACACCTTTGTAGCTCCCTGTCCTGCTTTTTTGCGTAGATAGTAGATACCCATCATTCATAGCACACCTTTTTGCCAACCTATCTCTCTCCTAGAATTTGTTCTATATGCCAAGTATCCACCCACATCGTGTTGTGGTTGATAACCCTCAATTTCCAGTGAATCCCAGTTGTTTTTTGATTATCTCCTTTGTTCCGGGATGTTTTGATTAGATCCGCATTTTTAGTGCTTAAATCAGCTAGTATTGCTACTATTCAAAAACCATGTACACAAATGATCCCGGCCATTGGAAGCTTCCCCATTTTTGCATACATCTCAGCGTCTCCAAGTGACTCTTTTGATACACAAAGTCTGCCACCAGTTTTCGATCCGCCCCCATGCCTGCCTTGTTTGCCGACACGCCTCAGCAACGATGCCGGCTCTGGCGCCGGCTCTGGGAGTTGAACATCCGCAAACTGCATCCAGGTGGTTTCAACCGTGAAAAATCAGATCATTGGAGCCAGTTTTTTGGGGGTATATGCAGAACATCTGCAGAACATAATATGTAAACACTCATTAACATCAACTCCAGGTATAAACAACACTCATCATCGGGATCATCTCAAATCATGTTAGGTATACATACCCTCCAGTAAACTAACATGGCTATGGAAAATCACCATGTTTCATAGGTATGTAAACTATAATTGGTCAGTTTCAATAGCTATGTTAGCCATTACCAGAGGATACACCGAAAGAATCCTCAAACCACCAGGTCCACTGTCCACCGACTGTGGCTTTTCCCATGCCACCAAGTTTCCGGTGAAGTTGAACAGGTGCGATTTTTCACCTCAGCCCGGCACTGAATCGCAGTTTCGGATCACCAAAGGTGATAGATCAAGGGTGACATGTAGACTTAGGCGGATAAATGTATATAGATACATTTATATATATATATATATGCATATATAGATGTCATATAAATACCTGGGGCACCCCCAGGACACCTTTTCCTGTCCAGATGAGAAAAAGTAAACTATTGGAAAGTTGGACAGGAATTGTTGTCCGGGACGGCTTTTCATAAAGCGCTGTCAAACGATGACATTGTACGTAATTTTTGCGCAACTTGAACGTAATTGAACGTAATTTGAACGCAATTCGAACGCAATGTGAACGTAATTTGAACGCAATTTAGCCAAAAGGACGTGAAAAACCGTTCGGCTATCGGAAAGGGCGTGAACTTTCGATCTTGGACGTGAAAACCGTCAAAAACTATGAAAAGACAACTTTTGTGGATCTGGACAAGAAAAGGTGTCCCAGGGATGCCCCAGGTATAAATGTCCTATCTGTTTATATAGATAAACATCATCCAAACTAGTCGGGAATAATCTTCATGCCATCCATGGTGCATTCAAAGGTGATGTTCGGGTGTTACACGCATGCTGCCTCTAAGAAATGGTACTTCATTGACATCAATGCAAAAACTATGAGATAGAGAAGCAGGATGGGAACAGCACCAAAACTTAGCATTGTTTGGTTCCAGACTGGTTTATATAAACAAACGCAATGGATTAACAAATTAATTCCAGGATTTCCGAGTCTTTAATGGTTAAAAATTGGGTATATCACCAAAAAGTAGCATTTTTCACCACATTTTCACCATATTTTGATACAAACTCTGACAGATTTCTTGGGGCGCCCTGTGCCCAGTCGCCGCTTCCTGTGGTGCCGCCATGTTGAACGCCATTCGCCATGGAGACATCGACGCGAGGCGGTGTCCACTCTAATGAAGAAACGCTTCCTTGGATCTACTAGTGTACTGGTTGCTAAAACATGCTTAAACCAATTTTATAAAGCATCGAAAACCATTGCCAGATCTCCATAAATGAAGATCATCATGGATGCAGATTGGAGTCGAATGTTGCGGGTGAAGGACTGTTGCCACAATCTCTGGACTTGACTCGCCATATCGATCCATATCGACCGTAATGGGACCAGTCCTGCCAAGGTCCAATGACTGAAAATCAACTAAGATATGTAGACAGCCAATATTCCTGTAGGCGAAAAGACTGAGTCCATGCAATCGATTTTTGAGAACGCAAATGACCAGAGATCTCTCCCACTAATCGCGTGTTTTGCTGGAAACACGTAAAATACACAAAGGATCACAAACTCACAATGTAAGGGTCCAGCAATACCGCCCGGTGTTTGAGTTTTCTTGAAATCGTGAGGTGTAGTACAAAAATTATCCACTGCATATAAGTTGAATATATTCTCCAGCTCCCATGATAAAGATTGACAACGAGTGCATATATGGAAACGTGGCACAAGGCAGCCCTGGCTCGTGGGTATGGACCTGACGATCCTGATGGGGTTCCCTGGACCACTTGGGCGCGACTTCACACCCCGGAAGTGGTTCTGTTTCCGGGTCGATCATTCATTGTCATCTCACTTTTTGACTACCCCCTGGTAATCAAACATCCTATGGACAATCTCCATTCGTTTTGATTCGTTTTGATTGAAGCCATTTCCAAAGTTCAGGCACTTTTTTCTTGAAAAAAGGCTTCTCCGAACTTTTTTTGCTTCCAATCTACACACAGCATCACAGGTTACATCAGTTTTCATAAACCAACATTTTTAGCGATCCCAACTTGCCTTCATCTGAGATATCTAAGATATCTAAGACCCCATTCAACAACCAAAATGCCAGGGGCCTTTGCATGATTTGGGCAAGATGTCACTAGAGCAAATGACCTGGGTCCTGGGTAGGCTCTCGGTGTTTGGGCTGCGACTACTTCCAAGTTGTCTGCGAGTACTACTGTGGATGGAAGAAATCCTGCACCAGTTGATAGATGGTTCATACCATTTATTTATAGGGTTTCAACCATCGAAGGTGGTGCAGGATTTCTTCCATCCACAGTAGTTCGATATCAATTTTCCAATCATTCAGCCGCTCGCTTACCTTGAACCTCCTGGCAAGAGAGTGAAATGATGACAGGAGACATTGCTCGACTGCCGCACTTTTTACAGACCTTCACTGGCATGATCTTCTTCGCTGCATTCTTCGCTTCCCAATTACCTGGAAACTGAGATGACGTTGATGTTTTGGGTAGATTGAGCCAGTGCTCCATAATTTGTGGACTGTGTAAAGTCGAACGAACAATAGACCCTCCTGCAAATAAAAGTGGCCGCAGAAAATCAACCGTGTCCAAATAATTTTTGCAGCTAGAAACCTCCATTTATTTAACGCGGATTTTCAATGTTTGATTACCAAAGGGTATCGTCAACAGTGGGCTGACAACTTGGCTCATCAGCCTGAAATCACCCCACCACTTCCCAAGATGTTCTCTTCCAAAACCACCGTTTCTGTATACCCTCTGGTAAACATACAAAAAGCTATTGAACATGGCCATTTATAGTGGATTTTCCCATTAAGAATGGTGATTTTCCATAGTTATATTAGTTACCAAAGGGTATTTCTGTAGTGTTTTGATAGAAACAGCCACTGATGTTGTGAAATGTTGTGAAAGCTGCGGAAAAAAAAACCAATGTTCAGCAAAACTGGGGGTGTTCACCCCATCGGTGGCCAAAACCCCAAGCCCTTAACCATCCAATCATCCATAACATGACCATAGAATACCATAGATACATCTATCTAACATTATAGAGTATAGTATTGTATAACCCATAGGATCCATGTATGGTATATATGCTAACATTTGGGGTATATTAATGGTAAATGTTACCATATATGGCATACATGGATCCTATGGGTAATATAAAATATATCAACCATTCCCACATAGCAATTTTGAACAATGCCATGTTCATTCATCATTTTCACCACATCAACCACTCGCTCCGACATCCGAGTTGCAACGCTCGCAGGTGGACGGCAGCACCTGGACTCGCACGCTGCTCGCGTCCCAGTCCTCGGGGATCTTCCGTCGTGTGCGCCACTCAGGGGACTTGTTCTTCAGGCTGCGCGCCTGTTTGATGACATGCTCCAAATGATGTCTAACCTGCAACGATTTCGCCGGAAAAAAAGCAAAAAAAACATGCTTTGCTGTCAAACAAGGGTGGTCCTGAAAACTACCAAGGTGCAAAGTCACGATAGGGGTGAACATGAGCCCAAAACGACAATGGCATATAATGGCATATAATGTCATATAATGGAATATATGCATATCACACAGCAAAGCAGTACGTACGATTGATGCATTCAAAACATGTCAAAACCATCTGAATCTATATACATGATTATACATGATTATACATGGAGGACCTATTGGGGTCTAGAAACCCAACAACTGATGCCATTCTTATCATGGAAACATCCCACGGATAAAATCCGTCCGGTTTTGCGTGTGTTGACCTCGAGACACAAAGGGGTGTTCAATGGAAACCCATCATGCCTGGAATGTCAGAATATACGCAACCAAATTGGTGCTTTCCACATCTTTACACCAACGACAATATGGGATTTCACAGAGTTCTTATCATGGTTCATTGATGTTCATTGAAGGTAAAAGTAGAACTGGTTGGTGGTTTCAACCATCTTGAAAAATATTAGTCAATGGGATGGATTATCCCATATATTATGGAAAATAAAACATGTTTGAAACCACCAACCAGAGAATATCCTCAATCTTCAAGTGTCAAATCACCCAGATCGGTGACTCTAAGACACGTCGCCTCTTGAAGGCTCAAGTAGGTCGCCTGAGCCAAACTGCTCAAGGTGTGATACTCTCCGGTCGTCAGCATGCGCCAAAGACGTATTCTCGCTGTGAATTCATCCGACACCTGGCACATCAACAACATGCTCTTCAACCCAAGGCTATGAAATTTGACATCTGGAATTCAAGACATTTTCGTTGGGTTACATGGGGATTCCTAAGTATGACACAATTGTTGGTGCTTGAGCTACCATAGACATGACTGGTTTTCTAGTAAAATGATGGATTTTTCACAGCACCAGCGATGGCGTGTCTTGGCTACCCTTCAGAATAGGGAACTTTGCCAACGGGTGATATGATGTATTGATCCATCAAAAGGGCTCCAAATTGAATCATTCACATCACCAACTTGTCACATAATCACATAGTTTCCTGGCACTTTCCTATGCATGTTCCATCATTTTCCTGCAATGTGAGCCCCCCCAGTTATAAGTTGGTTTATAAGCCCCAGTAACTATAATTATAACTACCATAAACCATAGTTATTGGAGTTATAAACCAACTTAGCTATCTTGGGGGCCTCACATTGTGTAATATATATATATATATATATGTTCCCAGAAAATAACGCCAAAGCTCGGATTTGCTGGGCACGAAACAATTTTTAACAATCAGCATACATCTGCCCTCTAAAAAAAAACGAACGGTGGATGTCCAATTTGGAAATCAACAATCATCTCAAGCAAACCCAAGAAAAATGGCTTGCATGAAATCATTGTGACTGTCTCACCTCTTGACTTCGCCCGCTCAAACATCGCGTTGCGACGGACATCATTCCGACCCCAGCCAGAATCGGAGCTGGCATACCTGAAGGGGGCCAGCTGGGCATGACATGTGGAGGTTTAGCTGTTTAGCCAACCAAAGTCAGGGTTTTTCAGCAGTGTACGTCAAGAATATCGATCAAACTCCAGGGTTCTTTTCGAATGGGTGATTTTACCCAAGAAACAATAGGCCGAAATGGGGGTTTAAACAACAGAACTGAAGAATCCACCAATATTCAGCAACTGTTTTGAAGGCTGAACATATTCCTTCAATGATTCTGACATCAGCGAATGATTGGTGAGTTGGAAGAATCGTTGAAACCAACGACATGGATTAACACAATTAACACCAAAGCTATAAATATCAGTGATATACATGAAAATTTATATAATATTTATATACTATCTATCCATCTATGGGATATGATTGGGTGGACATCACCCAACGACTCACAGCAACCCTGTCCTGAAGGGCGCAGCTTCCTCCAGATCCTCCCATGAGATCTTTGCGGTGTCCCGTCTGCAGGGCATGGTCGAAGACGGCATCCCAACATCTCGTGACTCACCGCGGGATGGCGTCCCATGGCGCGCGAAAAAGAAATGGGGCCTTTTTAGCAAGGCTGTGGAGGCGAGGATGAAGATTTGGCACATGGAATGCTTGTGGATTTATTCAATGAGAATTTCAGGATCCTAAAATGGAGGTACTGTACCATATAGGGCATATTTTCTAGGGATATTCCCTTACATAGGCCTTATATAGGCCTTATATATGGTAGGTACCTCCAATTTAGGTTCCTGAAATGGTCATTGATTTATCATGGCTATCTAAAGACCTGGATAACAACATACGAATTCACTAACCTTAGTGGGGCTATGCCATGGCTTGGGAACGAGGCCTTGATCCAAACAGATCCAAACAACATGTCACATGATTTTCCTATGAACCATACAGACCATGCAGCTTCAGCTTCTGAGTTGTGTTTTCCTATTTTCCTAGTTTCCTGTTTCCACTTTTTTAATTGGGTATGGGTCAATACCTATATATAGATACATTTTAGTGGGATGAACATCCATTTACCAGCTATTTTGGGGTTCACTAGGTACCAGGGTTTTGACCCATCCTCAATTGTGTTTCTGATCCCAGAATTTTCCTGGCGTAGCGCGGATCCAGCTTTGGCGGGTTTTTTTATCACCAGGACCAGGTCGATGGCGCGAGATGGACATGCATCGAATCGCGGGAATCGCGCTTCGAAATTTTCCGGACAGTCTCAAAAACAGTACCCATAGGATCCATGTATGCCATATATGGTAACATTTACCATTAATATACCCCAAATGTTAGCATATATATATATATATGGCATACATGGATCCTATGGGATATGCTTAAGGTGTTTTACCTTCATACCCATGACGGATCCATGGTGCTGCTATATATGGTGTGCCATGGATCCCATCAATATACCCCCTTTATGTTAGCATATATACCAGCACCATGGATCCTATGGGATATGAAATGGAAATCTCTAACCTCTGGCACTTTTCATAGCCCACAGTTCTGTGGGTCCACGGCCTCAAGGCCTCAAATCTCCATTTGATGAATTTTGCTAAACAACCTGTTGAATCTCCCAGTTGTTGCTGAATTATATTAACATTGGGTATATGAAAACAAATAAAAACTAGTTCTATTCCCATAATTAACTAAATTATATAAAAAACTAGTTCTATTCATTCTTATCAATTTCATCGAATTGCATCACAGTTGGTCTCGATCAAAGCATGGATTTTCCGCCGTCAGAGGCTGGCCATCAACGAACAGCGTTGACACCTCGGACGCCAGATGAGATCACGGTCTCAGTTCTTGGAACGAGAAATTCCATGCAAAAGCCATAGGGCGATACAGAGCAAACATGTTGTGGCGATGAAAACTGATGAAACCAATATGCTTAATGTAGTGGTGAAGATCATGAACGTGGGGACGTAAGGATTCTATATTCGACATGTTTCTTGTCGGAAACGGGCAAGGAAAATTGGAGAAGTCAGTCACCCACATGGCCAAAAATCCCATCTCCGACCGGATAGATACAGGGGCACCCCCAAATCATCCATGCTTTTTTTTAAAGGAGTGGCAGGGCGGCAATTTTTTTTAGCCATCCATGAAATGGGGATCCTGTCTTTTTTGGAACCCCCCATCCCGATGGATTCCTGGAGACCGAAAATGAACCCCTTTTTCGGCCAAGCGCCTTGCTGATACTTTGTGGAGAACAGATCTAAAGAAATTGCGCAACTGGCCATGTCCAAAGATCAAACACCACGTCTGAAACCCTTTCTCATTATTTAGCAGAACTATGACACATGGCTTTTTACTGCTTTTTCATGCATGTAAAGCCATCTTCATCCGTGGCGAGAAACCGATGTCAAAAATAATTGTTCGGAATATCTTTGGACATGTTCCATCCTTCGCGTTCAGTGAGACACTTTCAAAATGGATGTCTTCACTTCCATACCTGCAGTGCAGTGACCGCGTCTTGGTCACACCATTTGAAAAAACGCCAGTCCAATCCACAGGACCTACAATCACAAGTTGGCATAATGTATTGACAATTGAGGATGGGTCAAACACAAGCATCTCCAAAATCTGTAGATGAACATCCAAGAATATCTTTCCCTAAGTCCTTAGTGATGTCCACAAGGGAGGCAAAACATCTGAACATATCTGGGATGGACATCCAATGATATTTTTCTCGAAGTCATCTTGGTGATGTTCACAACAGGTACAGAGTTTTGAGCCACAAACAAGTGGCTTTGAGTAAACTAAACTACTGTGAATTGGGGTGGCTGGGGTTACATTCCCATACTGGTGGGTGGTGCTTTTAACCCGTCTCAAAACACACATAATCTCAATCAATCATCCCAAGTATAGTTGAACAACAAACAAATACCATCTGGTAATTTCACGTACCTACGGAATATAAATAAACATCACCATTCTTACTAGGTAAATGGGCAATCGTCCAGAGAACTGTTTTGAATTACCAGGGAGTATTTGAACCTCCCAACCAACACAAGTCTTTTTACAAACTTCCAGCATTCCACTTCCCCATCTGCAAGCCCTTTTGGGGGATGGCTGCCCAACGTCTCTGGGAAAACTGCTATTTTGGGGGTTTCCATAAATGGGGGTACCCCCAAATGGATGGTTTATAATGGACAATCCTATTCAAAATAGATGATGACTGGGGCTACCCCTATTTTAGGAAACCTCCATATGATCCATACCTGACGTCGGCCCCTTTTTTGGTCCCCTTACTTGGCGGAATTCGTGGCTATATACTTTCACTTGTTGGGGCCTCAAATGTACAGTATCCCCAGTGATTAAACATATCCATTTGTAATCTTGCATTAAAATGGTAGGTAAGTATATTCAATGACTGTCAATATAGAATGAATGTATGTAGATATGTATACTGTATATGAAAATATGATTATATTAATATATATATATATACATACGTATATATATATACATACGTATATATATATATATATGTACATACTATATATATATATACGTATATAATTATTTATATTTGCCCCCATTATATCCACAATCCCCAAGCATCAAACATGCCCTTTTAAAATGGTGGCTTGTTCCACCCCTTTTTTTTGGCCCCGTTGGTCTCCAGGTCGCCTCATTGTCTGGCCATCTGCCAGCCCTGGACGCCCACGTTGGGTGGATAACAACTCTGAGAGAAGGCGGGCAGGGCAGCCTGAGATCGCCACTGAAATGGGGGGTTCCATGGTTGAAATTGGGGTACCCCTATGACTTATGGATACTTATGGTTGGTTTATTTCATGGAAAATCCCATCTAGAAATGGATGATGATGATTTAGGGGTACCCCTATGACTTAGGAAACCTCCAAATGGAAAGGTCAATGTTATCTACAGTAGGTTATGAAGAACTGTAGTATTTTATCATCTACAATTACAATCATGAAAAATCGGCACTGGGATAATTATGTTCCCATGGTGATGTTCTTTAAATTGCCGGGAGGTGTGTCTTGTTATGTCTTGTTGTGTTTTGCGTGGCCTTATTTTTCAAAACGGGGATGATTATGGCCCGTTAAAAAGTGACGCAACTGTTAACATCTAAATATTCTAACTTCAACACTACGGCCAACCAGAAAACCATTGCCCCTCTGGTAATCAATCGTGGCAATGGTATATTCCCTATAAAACTAGGTGGGAAAATCATCTATCAATGATGTCAATGGCGGATTTTCAATTGCTACATTTGAATACATTTGATGACAACAATGGCCAACCAACATTCTCTTGGAGTAGAATCATCCTCAATATCTTCCAACCTTCTTTTTGTAAGGGCTCATGCTTCTTTAAACGGAAACGGGCCCATTAAAAGACGTAGTACATCCCTACAGCTGCCCTGCATTCGTAGCTTCCAAGTATTGTCCACATTCTTCTCCCTAACTTAGGGATAAGAATGGGGATAACACTTGGAAGCTTCTTTTATGCTTAAAAAAATATCTGAAAATTTACTCTACACAAAGCATCTCTAATGTTAAGTTTGTTGCCACAAGGAACTGCACGCTCATAGTATTGCCGAACTTCATCTTTCTCTGGCAAGTCGTTCAGACTCCATCCTGCGATCTGGAAATCCCATGGTGATGAAAAACCAGGCGCCTGGCCGTTCCATATATTTTACACCTGGCTCTTCATTTTATGAATATAATGCCTGATCTTAACTTCCTCATTTTATGTCTGTTTATATTTATACCATCCCCTTTGGGTTGGATTCCATCAGCCTTGGCCTTCGAACACCTCTAAGTCACCAACACATCACATGCATCAAACGTGCTGTTGCCTTTCAAGGAGGCCGTGGCACTTTGGATGACGTACAAAGCCGCCAGCAGTTCCTTACGGTTTCGATTCGAGCTGGGTTGATGCACCCGTGAGGGGTCCTAAAAGGGGTTCCCCAAAAAATGAGAAAACTGGTTGTTCCAGGTAGTTTTACTATTGTTTACCTTTGTTTACTTCATAATTAATTCCCAGGCTTCCAACTGTTTCATTCTTTGGGGGTGGCTAAAACCAGAAATCCCACCCAAATTGGCCCCAAGAATGACGCATCGGCTCCTAATTAAGGGTCACCGGAAGGCCGCCATGTCTGCCAGTTGTTGCTGTCTCTCTTTAAAAAAATGGTTACCCTGCAGGTCAACTAATTGTTGCTGTCTGTGGGTAAAACAATGCCATACCCCACCCACTGGGAACGGTTTTTACATACTGGGCTATTTCCCCAATAGTCATTTCATCTGATACTTAAATGGTACCCTCTGGTAAACTAACATAACTATGGAAAATCACCATTTTTAATGGGAAAATCCACTATTTCAATGGCCATGTTCAATAGCTATGTTAGTGATTTTTCTGGGTGATGGATACAGGGTTGCCATCGAGATCTACGCTCCAATCTCAAAACATCAACCATCGTTCACAAGATTCATAAAGACAGCATAAGGGTCAACGTTCCGAAAAAAAAAACCCAAAAAAACAACAATCCATATATTCAATGGCCATTTCAGGATCCTAGATTGGAGGTACCTACCATAT